AAAGTTGCCAAAATGCCAAAAACGAAAGCCGAGCATCGGCAACGAAATTGATAAAAATTTCAAAGGCCTGCGGGAGTCGAAGTGAAGGTGGGCAAGGAGTCTGCCCCCAGCTGCTGTCACGTCACGGATCTCCTTCCTTGGAGAATTTTCGTTGAATGTGAATGCAGCCACGCCCCTATATCCATATACATATCATCCGCCTACATTGTTTGCTAATATAATTTGGTGATTAAATGGCTCTGACGGGGGTGTGGATATCCCCGGAATATATCATGTGGAGGTGGACACACAATTCTCATTTGGCGGTCACTGCAGCATTTCTCAATTATTTACCGATGACCGCAAATGAAATGCGGACTTCCTCCATCCATCCACTCCCCCTTTGCCAAAAGTATTTCGGTTGGTTTTTGGTATTTCCCAATTAATTCGGAAATTGTTTTCCCACTTGGGGATGCACCCAGCACCCCGCACTCTTTCACTCGATTCGAGTCTCCATTTGTTGCTGCTAGATTTGTGTTTTTGGCTTTGGTTAAATGTCGCTTCTAATTGGCCGTAAATCGCTTTTGGATTGTTTTGAATTTACATTCGGCTTACCGATGCCATGGAGATAAATGATCTTGGGTAGGATGGAAACCACAAAGGAAGGGAGTGGCCAGAGGGCACAAAAAGTACTTCATGAATCGAACTATTATCTTTGTTTAATGGGTATCTATGGATAGGGATTCGCATGGAAGATCACCCACATTAGGATGATATCTCTGCATGATTCTGAGCCTCAAATAAATTATTTATCTAAACAATACACCCTCAAATACCCCTTATAATTCCACCCATTACCATTCTGCTTGTTCCTTGAAGGATTGTTCTCTGCTTCCAGACATTTAACTTTCGTCTTCCACCCAATTAAAAATTCATAGACCCAAAAGTTGATTGCTCTGAAGCTGCCGCAGACAGACAGAGTGACTTTCCCTCTCCTTTTCCAACACATTCACACCTGTTCTACCAGTGTCTACCTGGTGTTCCCATCGTATTCGCAATGAATAATCCTGGGACAGTGGAATGCCTTGTCCGCTGTCCGCTGACAAATTGTTGGGCTCGTTAAATGTTGGCCGCAAAACTTGCGCAGAATTATGTAAATTTGAATGGAAGGATCTTAAAGATCCTTGTTGTACTTTGTAGTAGTAATATTTTCTCCCACCACGAAACTGACGACAGACATTAATTCCATTTGAGTTGTATCCTTGGCTTCCTGTTATCCTTGAGGTTTGCCCACATAAATAATTTTTAATGATGTGAAAATGTTTTGCCAAGCACTTTTCCTATAATTAATGGGAATTTCCCAGGAAGATATTTCAGAGTGAGGAGAAGCAGGAGGAGCCCCAAAGAAAGCCGCAAAACAAATTAAATTGGAAGGCGAGGGCCGATATGTGTTGGCATCCCTAGATGGAAGCGGAAGGTGAAACTTTCGACTGGAATCCAGAGGCATTGCCCAGAATCTTCGCTTGTTTCTTCTCTTCTCTCTTGCCTCCTGCCATGACCATGTTGTTCGATTCCTTGACGGCAATTCAATCAGAGTTCCCGATTCGGTATTTCCTGATTTCGCATCACACCCTGCCGTCGTCTGCTTTTCACTTCTTAAATTTTCTTTGACATTTTCCTATTTGCTTTCGCCGGGCAATTTATATTTCGATATAATTTCCGTTGCACTTTGTGCGCATCGCGCTGCCCTCTCTTCCCACAACAAAAAAGAGGACAGACGCACAGGGGGGGAAAGCAGAGAATAGAAGAAGCTCTCCTAAGAGTAATGTGCATTCATTTGTAGTCAGGAGAGCTCAGGAGAAAAAACAGGGAGAACTTTCCTTTGTCCGCGAGCAGAATTTAATGCAATTGAAATGGGAATTCCGACTGGGAAAAGTTCTCAAAGGAAGGTGGAAGATGGAGAGGCAAGGAATCGCCCTTTCTTGGACCTTGAACTTGATGGAAGCCACACAGTAAGTCCCCACCTGCACTGTGATAATTCCTCAGCAAATCGCCAAAGAGGATTCCACGTTGGAGTCACTCCAGATCCACATCTCCATCCACATGCCACCTGGGGCATCCCCCAAAGAGGCAAACACCGCATTGCAGTTCGTGTCCGAGTTCTGTTTTATGGCAGCTGAGAGAGAGAGAGAGAGAGAGAGAGAGGGAGTAACCAAGTGAAGGAGGAGCTGCAGGTGGAGCAAGTGGTGGCACTTGCACATAGGTAAATTTGTCCAGCAGCGAGCTAAATTCCAAACGGAAGTGACACTCTAATTGAGAGCAACGAGCCAGCTGGGAGATGTTTCGGCACGGGGGGAAAAGAGGTGGGAAAGCAGATGATAGTGGATGAGGACGGGAGGAGAGAAAGGCGGACATGTCCACTTCATGCGGGTTCTGGGAGTAGCACTAAAAAAAGTAAACTCGTTAATTGCTAAGTGCAAAACCATAAAACGGATGTGGAGCAGTGGAAGAGATCCAAGGAGTAGCGGGGAGCAGAAAGGAGATTGGTTTGTTGGTTCCGCAAACAGTTGGCAGAGGGTTGGAGAGTGTCGAGGGAAGTATAATGCGGGTCTGGAGTGGGATACTGTCAAGTGCCACGAAGTGAAGGAAATTTAAATGCGGAATAAGCATTGCAGAAATTATTCAATGCTTGAAATTAGTTAATAGAAATGATAGATCCAATCCATGTCTCTTGTTCCCATTATATGTATCATATATTATTACGATGGATATCTTTTCTGCGAACTAATTTCGCATTCAACTGATTTGCATAGCCAGAAGTCTCCCCGAATATTCGTGGAAATGTCTAGCAAATGGATACGCTCAGAGGTTCTGGGGCAGCCTCACCTTCGAGACATTCTTCTTGTTCGACAAATCTGTGCTCGCATTTTCTTTCGCCTGTCATCGACTGGGAAACATTTTCCACAGAACACTGAGCAAGTTGGGAAATGCGTTGCATATTTATGAATTATTTAGCAGAGGGACATCCGACATTTTGCTCCTTCCGCCTTTCGCTGATTTTCCTGTTTGTTTTCCACAAATTGTCAAAATGTTACCGGAATGACACTGCCAGCACGTGTAAGCCCACATCCTTTCTTTTCCTTCTCCTTCCCGTTTACTTCAACATGCCTGAAAGTTTGTCCAAAATTGCCCACAGGAATTTATTCATGTGGGTGCCGAAGGAGGGAGGAGGAGACGGAAGAGCATGTGAAGCATCATCATGCAAATCACTCACTCGGATGCCACTCTTCTCTTTGCCATAATCGCCCTTAAAGCCGTCGGTTGGTCAGTTCTCTGCCAGAGTCCCGCAGCTGGAAAACTTTCCTCCGGTGACAGCTGGAAAAATTACATCAATTTCATAATTATCGTGGGTGGTCGCATGCCTCCTCCATTCGTATATTTTCTGACATTTTTATTAAATTTTTTCCTCCGTCGAAAATCCTTCCCAGCGGGGCAGCCAGTAATGTCCGAAGAAAGGCGATGATTAAAGAAAAATCAAGTGGAGTTTGTCCTTTGTAATATTTCAAGATTTCCTTCTCCAGAAATATAACTTTTTTGGGTGTGACGAATGTTAGTGGTCCAAAGGGAGGGGAACGATTTGATTAATAAATGGAAAAAGGAAGGCCAAAGGAACGGATGCTAGAGAAGTTAGAATTATATCTGTAACGGCTAGGCAATAAGCATTCCCAACTCTCGGGGATATTATTCCTCCTCATACCCGTTCATGTCCCATANCCTTCCGCCTTTCGCTGATTTTCCTGTTTGTTTTCCACAAATTGTCAAAATGTTACCGGAATGACACTGCCAGCACGTGTAAGCCCACATCCTTTCTTTTCCTTCTCCTTCCCGTTTACTTCAACATGCCTGAAAGTTTGTCCAAAATTGCCCACAGGAATTTATTCATGTGGGTGCCGAAGGAGGGAGGAGGAGACGGAAGAGCATGTGAAGCATCATCATGCAAATCACTCACTCGGATGCCACTCTTCTCTTTGCCATAATCGCCCTTAAAGCCGTCGGTTGGTCAGTTCTCTGCCAGAGTCCCGCAGCTGGAAAACTTTCCTCCGGTGACAGCTGGAAAAATTACATCAATTTCATAATTATCGTGGGTGGTCGCATGCCTCCTCCATTCGTATATTTTCTGACATTTTTATTAAATTTTTTCCTCCGTCGAAAATCCTTCCCAGCGGGGCAGCCAGTAATGTCCGAAGAAAGGCGATGATTAAAGAAAAATCAAGTGGAGTTTGTCCTTTGTAATATTTCAAGATTTCCTTCTCCAGAAATATAACCTTTTTGGGTGTGACGAATGTTGGTGGTCCAAAGGGAGGGGTTGTCCGCTTAGAGGGAGAAGAGATGCTGGAGAGGTTGGGATTCTATCTGTCCAATTAGCATTCCCAACTCTCGTGATCTAGTTCCTCACACGGGTTCTTCTATCATGACACATTTTACATCATATTTTTCTTGGATGGGATTTTCCCGTCTTTCCGCGGCACAATGATGGATGCAATTTTTGTTTCTCTTCGTTTTATGATTTGTCTCTCGAAAGTTTATGACTGCGTCTGCGAGCTTATTTAATATTTATGACCGAACATAAAGCAGCCTTTCTTCAGACGAACTTCCCTTCTTATTATTACGACAAAAGTCAGAGCTGAGAGTGCAGAGTGCCTTTCCGTGGAGAAATCATTTCGACTTTTGCTGCATTTTTAAAGATTTAATCAGTGGCAATTGGCAAATGCTTTCCAGAGGCAAGAAAACTCGCTGGAAAATAAACAAAAACGGAACACGAAAACAATTAAAGAAACAGAACCACGAAAACAAACTCAAAGGAAGGCTACGAGGATGAGAGAGAGAGAGAGAGAGAGAGAGGGTAGAGAGGGAAGCAAATTAATTAAAAATCGAGGCTATAAAAATGCTATGAAAATGGATGAAACACAAATTGCAGATCTTATTCTCTTCGCCCCTTTCGTTGGTGGCCACTTTTAGTGGAAATAACAGCACTGGGTCGTCGAAGCAACATGCCTCGAGGAAGAAATTCAAAAAGAAGAAGATTCAGAAATGGTTAAACAATATTGAGTTTAATCCATCCTCTAGTACCAGAAACGCACTGTCAAGTAAGCTTCTTGAACCGGACGGAAAAGTTGCTGTCTAATCTGACGCAATTCGTTTTCAGTGTATCGAAATGTCTGTTGCTGGGTGCGAGTGCGTCTTTGCTGGACACACGGAACGGTGTTGTTGATGGCACCTGCGGCAGTTGCCTCCGCTGCAATTTGTGGGCCTGGCTCTGCCTCTGCCGGTTGAGTACCGTCCGATGCCACTTCTCCACCGGCCACTGCAAGTTGCATATAATTACCAAATGGACACACACTTGAAAATATATTGGCTGACATACCTTCTTGTGTATTGCGATTATCGCCCTGCTGGTTGGATGCAAACAAGTTTTCTTCGTTCTGGGAATTCATATTTACTGTCGTTTAAATTTTTCGTATTTAATTTGAGGTTGCAAACAAAATCAGAGGCTTGTTGAGTAATGGAAAAAAACTCGAAAGTGTCACCCAACCGAGTTGCCCTGGAGAATCAACGATTTTTGTCAATTAAGAAAGCAAAAATCTTGAATCTTTGTAATCCATTCTCATTCTGCTTTTTCTAGTAGATTCATCAAACCACACACGATGCGATTCTTCGCCTTGGCATACAATGCAACTGTATGGCAAACTTCTTATACTCTTCCAACCAACGGGCTCAAACAGTTTCCTCTCTGGCAATCGGTACCACCCAACCAGGTCAAGTGAAATGTGCTCCACAAACTTTTCTTTGCTTCCCTCTTTCCTTTCCTCTCCTTTTTTTCCTCAGTCCACACACATGCATCAAAGGAGGGAACACACAATGAGTGCTCCGCCAGCTCAAGAGAAAGTGGAAACTGTGACCCGATTCCTGGGCCTCTCCTACTTGGACACGTTCCAATGCAGATGTGCTGGATGTTTGTGCTTGGACATTAGGGATTTATGCCACGCCTCCACTGAGAAATGTATACAGAAATTCCCAACTTTGCAATGCAATTTTTGACAAATGCTTCCAATTAAGTGGAACAGAGTGAGATTGAGAGTGGGAGAGTTCCCAGGATACCCCACCGAAAACACAGAGCGCCGCTCACATGGTGCGGCCAGGCATATTGATTCGGATTTGGACTCGGACTCGGATGTTGGTCTGCCATGGGGATTTGTCCTTAAATGCTTCTCATTTATTTTAACGCCCAGCGAGAGTCGAAAGCCCAAAGCTCAAATGTGATACGGGGACTGTGGGTGGATTCTGTGTTTGGAGGAGGAGGAGGAGGAGGCAGACCTGTGTGCCGCAGGATATATTTCCGACCTGAAGCCGCCGCCTGTGGCGTAAATATCTGATTAGGCTTCAGCCCACGAAGGCTACTTTCCCGCCTCCTCTTCCTGCTCAGCCATTCTCTCCTTTTCTAGGCAACCGAACAAAGAGAACCAAGAAAATGGTGAAAATGAAAATAATCTTGGGCAACATCTGGGGGAGCATGGGTCGGGGACGCTGTAGGACTTGACTGCTCCCTTTTCGATTGGGGACAAGGTTAAGCATTCGGCAGTAAAATGGCAACTTATTGTTTGGAATTGCCAAAAATTGTGTTGCCCAAAAGGAATAACAAAAAGAAACAATGGCAAAGGTGAAAACGAAATATTGAGGCCTTGAGGTTTTCTTTGAGAAATTGCTTTGGGGGGAGGATGAAAACTGTTTTCAGTGGGGAACTTTTTTGGAACAATCTGAACAATTAGTTACCGTATTGATATTTGTGGTTGTCCCTGAACCACGTCCTCTATCACTCTCATTGTGCACCTCTCATCCTCTCATACTTAATCCACGAGTATCTATACGATTTTGTCTCTTTCAGGCTGTCTCTCTTTGTCCATCTCACTTGACCTGCTCACTGCCAGAAGTCCTGGATGGCTGCAGTCCATCCTGGTCAGAGTATCATCATCATCATGGCTTGACTGTGGTTGCTGTGGTCATCCACCAGCTACTTGTCTGCTGCCCCTCCAGTTCATCCTGCGACTGCGGCTGACACTCCTCCACTTGACTTGGATGCCGTAATTGTCCTTGTCAGGCAATGTCCTGTGTCAGTTATCCTTGTGCTGTTTGTTGCTTCTTTGTGTGTGGCTCTCTAATAACTGATGGAAATAATTTGCTCATTTCTGTCCAATACTTGTGTGTGTGTGTTCGTGTGTGTTTGTGTCTATGTGGTTAGCATATTGCAGAGTTCTATTTAATTTCATTAAAAACAGCATTTAATAAAGAGGTCAAATTTCTGAAAATGATTGCTTCAGAAATTCATTTGATATTCAATTTACACACCAAACAATTGCCCTGCTTGCTGGTTAACAATTTAGTTCGATTATTTCTCCTTGGATAATTTGAATCTCATCATTTGCAATCTGCCTGAAAAGAGGAAGGGAAGCAGAAATGTTTCCAAGCGAATAAACACAATTTATCCTTTTGTGTTCAACCATTTTTTCCCGATCAAACCCTTTTCCACATCAGCCATAAATAACATAATCCGTATCAATGTATATGTATTCCATTTTTTGTTATCTCCTCAAAATTTGAACAATTGAAGCTTTGCTGTGTGTCTTTTTCATTCCCTATTTTCCGCTTTCCAATTCGATTATCCCCTGAGTTTTTTTCAGCCGTATTTTTGCCTGTTCAGGGCATATTCTCCGGACTCTACGCCATCCGGCTACTTTTGCGAAACATTTGAATTTAAATTCATTGAGGTGCAATAAATAAACTTGCCACATAAATCATTTCAACAGCAACTTAAGCACTCAGAATGGAATATTTCACCAGCTATCCGTGTCTTCAGTCTCTCAGCTTCACACGAAAAACGGATAAAAACTAAGTGGAAGTGTGGATTATCAGCGAAACTTGGAATACCCTAAACATAATTCATATACAAAGCGACAACGTATGCCAGCTACTTGCATATATTTGACTTTTGTATAATATGGATAATGCCAAATCAAATGTAAACTTTACAGGCGAAGACTAGCACATCCATTCGCTTGAAGCCTTCTGTACACTTGCTTCCTGGTATGCCGTGATAATCTTCCTAATACCCTGACGGAGAGAGAGAGTATACAAATTTTGGTGCGGCTAAGGACACCTTGGGGAGAGATTGAAGAGTATTGCCGAGACGGGTTAGAGCCCAAGAACTAATTGGCCAAAAACAATAAAACTCAGCTCCTTTAAAATGAAAATAATACCACTCTCCCTTTGTCTCTCCCTCTCCCTCTCCCTCTCCCTCTCTATCTGTTTCTGTTTCTCTGACTCTTTCTCAGTCGCTCTTAAAGTTTGGCTAAATGTTTGCGAGTACATTTATAAATCCGTGCAACGTTTGCTCTATGTGCCCAAGGGATTTTGCCCGAACAGGACAGGGCAAATATTGAAACTATAAAGCGTTTGCTTTTTCTCTCGCTTCTACACCCACTCATTGCCTTTCAAGCCCTCCCTCCCACTCTCCCACTCTTTCTCTATGCTCCCCCTCTCCCTCTCTGTCTCTCTATGTGTGCGTTGGGTAAAGCTGCTTTAATCCTAAAAAAGTTGTTGCTGGTGAGTGGGTTAAAAGTAAGAGCAAACTACCAGGACGAGTACATGGTACATAAGCGGCTTATGCCATTAGTTCGGAATCGCAGTTTGTCCAGCAGTGTGCCCAACTGTCGGCCTGCTGAGCGATGTCCTGCCACACCTTCCCATCTATGCCCCTATCCATCGATATATCCGCTGTGTTCCCATGCTTCCGCCTACCTGTGAAGAGGGTGAGCCCAAAGTTTCAGTTGGCAGCCAGTCCTGGCATTTGCCAATTCATGCGGCAAAACTTTAAAGGGCCCTGGTTCCAGTGGCGGCCACTAATTGGTGGAAGTTTGACGTGTAAAATCAAAAGTTATGGCCCAGAGATACCCTCAAATGGTGGAGAATCCTGTTCGAAAGTTTATCAAAATGGGAAATATGGGAACTTGTGCTAAGCTCAGCTTTTGGGGAGAGGTGGCATTTTCAGCTCTAGAATGATGTCTTTCTCTGTAGCGATGTATATAAATTATATAATTATACTCTTCACCTACATGACTCGAAGGTTTTTTCTAGACCCACGACGCCTTTAAACTTGACTCCTTACAACAGACTTCCTCTCATCTGGAACCGCTTAAAGCTGCAACTTAAGCACTTCCGAACTCCCTTTTTTTAGCTGCTCAAAAAGTAGAGAATGTCGCCATCAGGTCTGACTTTATTACAGTGCAATCCCCTCACTGGCCCACCGAGACTGCAGCAGTTTGCCAAGACCAAGGACCGAGAAGAGAATAGCCATTTTTGTCGCATACTCTACGCGGATTTTGACTGCATAAAATATGAAATTAAATTGCTAGCCAACAAAATGGCGCCAGGGAATATGACAAAAATATGAGACAGAAGCGCTGTCTCCCCTCCCTGCCACCTGGAGCTCTTGTGGCACTTACTTTGGTGGGAATTCTCTGGGCGCTGCCAACTTGATGACTTGCAGCTGTCGCATTTCTTTCGCGACTTCAGACACTGCTGCAACGCTTGTTGGCACCTGGTAAGCCACCTCGATGATGTTGGGATTTCATTTGACGGCAAATACTGCGGCACACCGCCTCATGGGAACTTCTCGGTCTGAGGTTGCTGTGCACTGAAACGAAGCATAGCCAAAATACAGCAAACTCTGACATTGTCGGCACTTGGTGACTGCTTAAATTACATGTTTTAAAAATGTTACGGCTAAATGAGATAACTTTTCGCAAAATTGCTCTCTGTATGATCCTCTCGTGTCTGGCTCTGTACGCATACGTGTGTATGGACATGGACACGGGACCCAAAATTGAAAATGCTTACTTTGTGAACAACGAGGGCTGCAAAATGATTGCACTGGATGTGACGAGCCCCGAGATACAGGGCCACATGACCAAGCCACCTGGAGAGTACACGTGTGACGATGAAACCTGGTTCGGTGCGAATCTCCGGAATGGCAACTGGTACCTGGAGCTGATGCGCGACATTGATCAGATCCTGATTGAGCACAACATCGAGAGTGAAACTAGCATAGAGTGCGAGTACGATCGATTCGATGGGAAGAGCGACAGTCAACTTGAGCACTACAGACCGGTTATATTCAATCTGACACATCCATACCGCTGGGAGGTGGGACCGGCCATTTATCTACGTGTCTTTTGCTACAATTCCAAGAAACTACTCCACGAAGATGTGCATTTCTTCATTCAACCACCGCCGCAAGAATTACTTGTGAAACCAAACAGCTTGAAGAAATGGGGAAAAGCCAATATAGCTGAACCCGAAGAGCCGCTTATTTCGGTGATGATCCTGGGATTGGATAGTGTTTCCCATCTGAACTTTCTGCGCCAAATGCCACGTACTGCTTACTATATACGCAATGAAATGTCTCACGTGGAATTTTGGGGCTACAACAAGGTCGGTTTGAATTCCTTTCCGAATCTGATTGCCATGTTGACGGGTCAGAGTGAGGAGGAGAATGAAAATTATTGGAAGCCCCAAAAGCGCATGGACGATTGCCCTGTGATTTGGAAGGACTTTAAGCAGGCTGGCTATAATACAACCTTGGGTGAAGATTATCCTGAATACAGTCTGTTTAACTTCTTGAAGCCTGGATTCGCCTCAATGCCAACTGATCATTATCTGCGTCCAGTAGTGAATACCATGTTGAGGGTCTTTAGCACAGAGTCCATTGCCTGGTGCTCGGCTGGCCGCACACTCACGGATATTTTGCTGGAGATGGTTGAGAGCCTGCTGCCCCACATGCAAAGGCATCCCTTCTTCTCGTACTTTTGGTGGGGCCAGGGCTTCCATGACTACTTCAATTTTCCTTCCTTAGTCGATCAGCGCTTTGCGGGGCTATTGAGGCATCTGCATGATACAGGAATCACCAACAATACCTTTATATTCTTCATGTCGGATCATGGCTCGCACTGGGGCTCGTTCCGGAAGACCTTTCAGGGTATGCTGGAGGACAATCAACCCATGCTGTTCACGCTCTACCCAAAGTGGATGAAGGAACGCTATCCGCTGGCCATCAAGAACCTGGAGAGCAATAGCCACAGTCTGATTACGACATACGACATCTACGAGACCATGAGGGACCTCCTCCACCTGGATTCATTGCAGGAGAGTCGCCTCAAGCAGAAGTCAAGTCTCTTATGGAAGAAGCGCGGTTCTGAAACACCCCGTGGCGTCAGCCTCTTCCTGCCAGTGCCCACGTGGCGCACTTGCAACACCTCCAACATCCCCGTCATACATTGTTTGTGCCACGAGCTGAAACCTGTGCAGGTGAATGCTCGAGAAGTGCAGCTTGCCGCCGGCAAAGCAGTTCTGTCGATCAATAAGCTGCTCGAAACCTATCAGATGTGTCATCAGCTCCAGCTCAAGAACGTTGTTAGCGCCTACTCATCGACCCCTCATATGACACAAGAACATGATATGAGGGACATCACTGTGCGCTTCCAAACGATTCCAGGCGATGCTTACTTTGAGTCCACCTACCGGATGACGGGTGGTGTATTATCCCTGGCTGGAGATATCCTCCGCATCGATGATACTAGCAACTCCAACAGTAACTGTATTAGCGAGCTCGAGCTGGAACCCTACTGCTATTGTGCATTTTAATGCCAGCTTTTGCAGCCTGTACTTATCATCCAACAACGCAACAATAAAAAATTGAAAGAGTGTGTTGTTTCATGTAATGAAACTATGTTTAGTTCATATTAGAACAGATATTACCAGCGCTTGAAACCTTTTACGAGGCTGGATTGAATCTCCCCGATCTTCTTTTCGCTCTCAGCCGTTTTTGCTTTGCGTTATTCTCTCATAAATGAAATTCGCCGTGGAGCGAATTCGCCCTTTGTTTGTTTCTGCAGTCAGAGAGCGATAACAGAGCGCTGTTACGGGCAGTGGCTACAGACTGTTAAAGTGGCTTTTTAACAGCGCTGTTGCTCTGTTAGAGCTGCTGCCCTGCGCAATTTTATATTTAATATCTGTGCATTTCCTGTCAGTTGGTCAGCAAAATATTCACTGTTTGTTTGTTAAGAAAAAAATTCAAACTAAAGTTGAAATTGTATGAAAAATGTTCTGGCCAGATGAGAAATCTTTCCGAAAAATGGGTTTGGCGGTGATCCTGTCATGCCTGGCTCTGTACGCATACGTGTGCACGGACATGGACATTGGACCCAAAATCGAAAATGCGTACTTTGTGAACAACGCGGGCTGCAAAATGATTGCCATGGATGTGATGAACCCAGAGATTGAGAGCTACGTCGCAAAGTCTTCGACCAGGTATGGATGCAGGCAAGCTAAATGGTTTACAAAGAATGTTTTCAATGGAAGCTGGCACCTGGAGCTGATACGCGGCATCGATCAGATCCTTATTGACAATAATCTTGACAATGAGAAAGACATTAAATGCTATTTTGATCGATATACATGCATAAGTGACTGGAACATAACCCGCTACAAAAGATTTAAATCGCACTTGGTGCCTCCATATCGCTGGAACGTGCGAAATGCTGTGTACCTGCGTGTTTCGTGCCACCATTTCCAGAAATTACTACATGAAGATGTGCATTTTTTCATCCAGCCTCCGCCGGAGAAATTATTGGAACACTCAAGAATCCTGGAGAAATGGCACAAAGCAAATGAAACTGAGTTGGACGAACCTCTGATTTCTGTCATGATCCTTGGTTTGGATAGTGTTTCCCATCTGAACTTTCTGCGCCAAATGCCACGTACTGCTTACTATTTACGCAACGTCATGTCCCATGTGGAATTTTGGGGCTACAACAAGGTCGGATTGAATACCTTTCCGAATCTGATTGCCATGTTGACTGGGGAGAGTGCAAAAGAGAATGAAAAGTATTGGAAGAAGATTCGGCGCATGGACGATTGCCCTGTGATTTGGAAGGACTTTAAGCAGGCTGGCTATAATACAACATTGGGTGAAGATTATCCTGGTGCAAGTCTTTTCAATTATTTGAAGCCCGGCTTTGGCTCAAAGCCCACGGACTACTATCTACGTCCGGCCCAGAAACTCATGAATAGAATGGGTGGCACCCGTAGTGACACAACATGCTCCGGTGGACGCTTACTTACGGATATATTGCTGGAAATGGTGGATAACATTCTTCCCCATATGCAAAGGTATCCATTCTTCTCTTTGTACTGGTGGTCCCAGGGCATTCATGAGTACTTCAACTTTGCTTCGACGATCGATCAGCGTTTTGTGGGACTACTGAGGCATTTGGAGGATACGGGTATCACCAACAATACCTTCATATTCTTCATGTCCGACCATGGTTCGCGATGGGGATCATTTCGTAGAACCTTTCAGGGTATGCTGGAGGACAATCAACCCATGCTGTTCACGCTCTACCCCAAGTGGATGAAGGAACGCTATCCACTGGCCATTAAGAATCTAGAGAGCAACAGCCACAGTCTGATTACGACATACGATATGTACGAGACCATGAAGGATCTTCTCCATCTGGATTCATTGCGGGATAATCGTTTGAAGCAGAAGTCAAGTCTCCTATGGAAGCTACGCGGGTCTGAGACACCTCGTGGCGTCAGCCTCTTCCTGCCAGTTCCTTCGTGGCGCACTTGCAACACTTCCAACGTTCCCGTTGCGTTTTGTCTGTGCCAAAAACTGACTCCCCTTCAATTGGATGATCCTACGGTCGCACTTGTGGCACGCGCAGCTCTACTATCGATCAATCAGCTTCTGGAACCCTTTCCCATGTGTCTTCAGCTGGAGCTCAAGGCTGTGGTCAGCGCGTTCTCTTCGGTGCCGCATGTGACCCACAGACATGACAAGAGAGACTTCACCGTGCGCTTTCAAACGATTCCAGGCGATGCTTACTTTGAGGCCACATCAAGACTGACGGATGGGGTCTTGCACCAGGCAGGAGAGATCATTCGTATTATGCAGCGTAACAACAACAGCAACTGTATTAGCGAGCTTCAGTTGGAACCCTTTTGCTATTGTGCAGTGTAGCATCGAGAACAAATTGAATATTTAAAGAGAATAAAGGTTAAAAATGCGTATTTTGTGTGTCTGTTGTTTGTGGCTTGCCAATAATTGTTAATTGATTAATTTTTGATCAGGATCAAACTTTATTTAAGCTCTCATTATTTGCTTATGCCCTGACATTTGGAATTTTCATAACATTTTACATCATTTGGTATTTCATTTATGTTTCCGCCCAAAGGCAGACTCTTGCTTGTTTGACTGCTTTGTTGTAAACCGCTTTCGGCTTCATTGAATGTCAAGCATTTCTTCTTGCCTTTTGCCCTTTGACAAGTCGATGATGCAATAAATTATGTGGGATAATTTGTTACTTATCTCTGTAGAGGCTCAGTCAATAATAGGATGCAGAAGATTAAATGTGGCATTTAATGGAGTTAATTCCTCTACAGTATGTCAATTTATTTAAATTAAGTGCTGAGAAACTGTACCATTAATGAAACGCACTTCATGTGAGCAATATTTGTCTAAATTATTCTCCAAATTTTCCTTCATGTGGCCTTGTCAGGCCCTGACATAACTGGGGCCCAGAAGCAAGCAAATTGCTTGCACTCAATTTGTTCAAATGCTCGGCTTGGCTTCGCCCATCATGATAATGTTGATGATGATGGATTTATGTCTGCCATTTGTTTTAGTGTGCTGTGTTTTTTCCTTTGGATTCTGCTTTTTGCCTTGGCTTGTGCGATGCCTGTCATCGGCAGCAAAGTGAAAAGTGAAGAGTGAAATGTGAGATGCCTGGGAAACTGCCATAAATCAAATTTCACAATTCACAAAAAAGGAGCGTTGCCTGACATGCCCCTAAGTCGAGAGTGTTTTTGCGAGTATTAATTGAAACAACGTAGGATCTCCCATTGGCATGGAGTGTAAGCAGCTTTAAGGATAAAAAAACAGGAAATGGTGGTGAAGTGGGTGGGCAAAAAGGATTATATTGGAGTAATAGTCGCAAAAGAAAAATGATTTTATATCAAAGAAAAATTAGGCACTGAAACAAAAAGCAGACCAAAGCAGAAGGTAAATCCATAATCATAACTTTTAACCGAACTTCGCAAAACCTCCAAATATATGCAACTAATTACATTTTGGATTTACTGAAGCTAATCTCGAGGTCGTTAATCACTCACCACACTCGTGTGCTCGGTGTTCAGATACCTCATAATTGAAACCAAAGCAACGTAAAAACGCCACCAGCCAAGCATTAATAAGGCTTTAAATATGGCACAAAAAAAAGAGCAACAGCACCCGACCGAAAGGCAATGGCAAGACCGCGAGCAGCGTCAGCGTTAGGGAAACATAAAAAGCCAAATTAGCAATGTTTCACATCAAAGTACGCATTAAATCCGAGACGATAATCACACACACTCCCACACAACACACACAACAGCAGGCCCACACACAGATTCACAGAGGCCAGACGACGGCGACGCTCTTTTGCCTTTTGGTATGCGTGAGAACATACAAAAAACATAATTAACCGCGACCTGACGACGACGGCGACAGTGACGGCGACCCACAAAAAAGCTGTCAGCCCAAGGGCCCAGGCCCAGGCACCAGGCATACGGTACGAGGACACAGTCCTCGCACTCATGCACAGGTTTCCAACCCCAGCTCAGATTCCCCACTGCCATCGGGTTAATGTGACGAACGCAGCTGTTGTCGTTGCTCTTTGTGCCAGCCTGCGGAGCGGACATTTTTGCAAATTACATACTTTTGAATATAAAGTACTCGCATAACATATACACAAGACGACAGCCAGTCTGTGGCCCTTTTTAATGGTCCAACAAAAGCAAACGACAACGACAACAGCCGCGCGGCTGTTGGGAAAGCTCTTGGGAAAATATCGATATTAATATCTACATTAACCAAAGACTCTACGAAATATTACTCAAAATATGTATACATATGTGCAAGCGTATGTGCTTACACATACCAACGTCAGTTATAGTAAAAAAAAACGAGATGAAAGAACCGACAGGAGGGTTCATTCGAGGTTCAGAAACCCCTTTTCGAAGCCCCAAATATCCTGTCAGAACATGAAACATCAGACCAGCTAGTGAAACACATCATATGTAACACCCAATGAAAAGCCTGCTGGATCCTGCTCTGGAGATCCACCTTAGACGTTAATTGCTTTGCCAATTATATTCACCTTCAAATATAAGAAATGTTCTGCGAAAATACCCAACCCATGGACCTCTGTTGCGTCTCCCTCCTACTAATTATCTTTCATTATGAGTGAATCAGTTACAATCGATTGCATTTAAGGCGTTTCAATCGCTGCTTAACCGCAATTCCCTTGCTCTTCCTCACTCCATGCTGCCAGTGAATGGTACCTCCGGTTCAGTGGGGCCACCTCGAAAGCGGAAGGATATTGCGCCTACTGCACAACTGGGGGTGTGGCCGGATAGGAGCCTCTTCATTCGTGTGCGCTTAATGAAGCACCAGGCCACGGTCCACATACCCCCAACTCTTGCTGGCTTTACATATGAATAAATTATTGATATCCAAATGCAGTTCGATGCCTCGACCAAAGCCCGGGCCCACGCACTGAGCCTGACCATGACTCCGACATTTCCATCCGTTTCAAAAATGCAAATATTGAAATAGTTATGAATGCGAATGCTCCCGCTTCATTCTCATTCTGCTGGGAAATCCTTAATCTGGACTCTACCACATGATCTGAATGGTGAAGAGCAGTGGAGTTGTACCCTCTCTTTCGGTTTTCCCTCTTCTGTGGCATTTTCAATGTGTTTGCAAATCACGAACATGGGATGGGAATATGTTCATGAGGGCAGAAAGCAGAGGATTACATTTGGTCAGATGCATGAATAGGGCCAAATTGGCAACACACCACGAAAGCGTAAGCCACGGACGTAAGCTGAAGGTCCGTTGTGCGCTTACATTTGATAATTCCAGATTGCTGTCCGTTAATTGATTCTTGAAAGCAGCTCTGATTGGCCGTAAAACTTCATCACTTGATAAGGTATTAAAACTGTGTAAAAATTAAGAGAAGATAGAGAAGAGTAAATTGTGTACCTGCTTACTAATTTGCCAGGGTTTCCAGTTTTTAAGGAGAGCTTATTAATATCAATGCTAAAAAAATACACGTAATAGCAATGCACATGGATATATTTTATAAAGCAAATAGCTGCAGTATTTTCCCAGATAAGACGACAAGCAGCATGGATTTTAAATAACTTAAATAGCAGGTGCCATGGACAGTCGCTTCAGACGCTTTCTGGATAAACCAAAACAAACAAATTATAACAAAAATTAAACCAGAGAACGAACACAGTTTTATTTTAATGCTTACAATCTTCCATAAAAATTTATCTGATCTTTTATGTGCATATCCTCATCCTCATACATGTATGCCTTTCATTTTTGGAAAAAGTTTGTAGTTTCAGGCTGAGAAAGAATTTTTTTCGAAATTCGAGAATGTGTGGCCGAAGTTCTTGGATGGCCTAAAATTGCATTAGGTCAACTCTTGAGCACACAAATTGCATGCCCCCACTCAGTTGTGCTCTTTTGCTCGTTTCTGAGTTGCAATTAGGATTGATATATGAGTTGAAAATGGTCCAGAATTCGTTTCGTTTCGTTTCTATCTTGTTCTGTGCCATTTTTGGGGACATGGATTTATGCCTTCATTCCAACAAAAAAAAAAACCATTCAAGTGCTGACGGAGAAGATGAAGTCCAGCCTCCATTGCAATTTGTAAATCAAATTCTCTTCCAGCAAAAGCATTGAAATTTTGGTAGATACAAAAAATGAAGCAACAAATATTGTCAGAAGCGGATGATTGCATGACATTTGGCTTTTCTATGACATTTGCCAAAATTGAAGCAACAGAACTGCCAAGGCGAACTAATTAAATTTTAAAAAATATGGGAAATCATCTTGTCATAAGAGATAATCTATTTAGAGTCTATTTATAGGATGTGCTTCAATTGATATTTTTGTGGTGCTTAAATGGTTGTTTTATCCTCCCTCAAATGTGCTTTTGATGCAATCTCTCAAAATTCGCATGAATGGCAAATAAGCCTCAATGCAATCAAATCAAGGGAGCCAAGTGCAGTTTAATCCGTTTACAAACACATTAAAATGTAGCCAGCAGCTGTTTTCCTATGGCCATTGTGTCCCTCGAACGAACACAAGCGAGAAGAGAAAGATGGAGGTTGAAAAGGAAAAAGACAGACAGGGAGAGACAAAGAGAGAGAGAGAGAGAGAGAGAGAGAAAAATGGGATAAAAAAGAAAGCGCAGCATTTAATGATAATTACAGCGACCATTAGCAATTGTCTGGCGGCAATAATAACAAAATGAACATAAAAACCAAAAGGAGAAGGTAAGCTTTCAAATGCCGAAGCTGCTGATACACTATCAGAGTCAATGGCTAAAAGATACATCCAGAATGTTTAAGGAAACATGGAAATAGAACAGGAAAAATATATATTCGATTCTGCTGTGGAAGCTTACTGTGACTTATTTGTTGTGACGTGAAGTGGACCCTTTTTTAAGAGTGCATAACCAGACTAAGAAGTAAGGAGCATTTGTAGAGTAGGACCAGCTTGGATTGAATTGGTTTCCAGCAAGGAGTGGGATTTGGGGAGGTCTTAAGCGTGACTCGATTTTCAATTACCACAGCACTTGGCTCAATCCAATGAATTGTTAAATTATGTAATGAAGCGTGTACTTTAGATAAATGAAAACTAATTAAATTAACTTTGGCAAGCAGCGACTGGCGAACTGGCAAAGAGCAGTGCAAACTTTTGCTACAAAGAAGAGATCTACCAGTGCGAGGGATTCCACTAATTCCTCTTTGGCAAAGACTGCAGTTTGGAGGGAATTTAATTTGTGCTGTTTGCAAACATTTCAGTTTCAAATTGGAAAACTAATTGTTTGCCACACATATACTCAAACAACCAAATAGACATCTGTACTCATTGGAGGCACAACAAAAACCATTTTGACTAAGTGTAGACCAAAAACCAGATTCGAGTACAGTTTTCTGGCAATTAGGCACGTTCCATGGCATAAGCTCTTATGGTTAATTGCCTTTCACCTCGCAACACACACAAACAGCACTCGTGTGGCATCTGCAGCCTCACTTCCTGTTTTGGTCTGCTCTGCATTTAATGAGTCATTCGATTCGATTTCGAATGGGTCACGTAAAACATTAAAATGAATGAACGAGACGTAGTATAGTGAGGTGTGTGGATGGGGGAGCAGCCACCAGCATCGTTTGCACATGACAACCAGATGGTAATAAATTGTTTCTTTGGCAAAAATTATAGAAAGCCATAAATGGCAAAGTCATGGGGCGTGGCTACGAAAAATGTAGTAGAAATTCTTCCAATAATGTGGTTTCATAATTAATAATAGGAGAGAAGAAAGAGGGCAATTTAAATTGAGAATTGCGAAATAAATAAGAATAAAAAGCACAAATTGCTCAGACCTAAGCTTTTGTCTGTAAATAAAAATCTAAAAATAATATCAGCATCCCAGTCCACATATGTAGATATGTTAATTTAAACTTTACGGGGTTTCCCTTACTATAAACGCTGTCCTAAGTCAATTTCTTACTTTAGCTCCCTCCACGTCAACCACTTGAAACCCCTCTAACACACACACACTCACTCTTTCAGATATACTTTATTATCCTTTGCGCTGACTCTCTTCCCTTCTGTGGCTGTTGACTTTTGGGCCTTCTTGTCACCTTTGCGCTTGATCAAATTCAACACATCAAATAACACTTTACCCCACCCAAAACACGCTGCCAGGAATGTTCTCTTCTGCCACTTGGGAATGAGTGTGTGTGTGTGTTACATTTGCACATTTGGCTGATTTTGAAGTGTGTGCTTAACAATTTTTGGACAACTTTTTTAAATTCCTTAAGCACGTAGACTGCCAAAACTTTTCAGCAAAGGCAAAAGCAATTTTGATTTTATTAGCTGTGTAGCACCTGATGGCATTTTCTGTTTTCCTTTTTTCAGTCACACTTAGTGTTATGCTCCCCCCTCTCCACACCCCTACACCCCTTCACCAGCTGGGTTCATCGCCTCTTTCAATTCAATTTCAGTCAATTGCGTATTTGGCACAAAGTTTTTCCCGCACGCTGACATACACACAAAGAAATAAAAGAAAACAGCCAAGGCCACCGAAATACGGCGACAACTTGACAAAGTCAACAATTTGCCGGAAAAGAAAAATTATAGCATCGACAGGGAAGGGAAAATTAAAGTGCAAAGCAGAGAAAACACGACAACAAATTTGTTGCTATCGACATTTGCTGTAGTCGATTTTTTGTTGTCAAAGCACTGAAAGGACAAAACAGAAACAAAAAGAGCAAACTTTTCATGCAGATGCCAAAGATTCGGTGAACCGTGAAGAAAAACGGCAGGAGACTTTGTAGAAATTAATCAGAGCTGAGCCCATGAAAACTTTGATACACTATTTCGGCCGACTGACTTCCCGTTTGAGTTATTACCAAAATATATTTTAAAATTGAATGCATTAAACTTTGTAACAGAAGAACATTTTAAGAAAATAAAGATGGAATGAAAATTAGTCAACTTGGTTGTAACCAAAATCGATGGTTGACCCGTCGTCGGTGTCACACTGATGGGAATTAACTTCATTCAAATCCAAATTTTCAATCAAGTGACCAACGATTGGGCATTCTGCCTCAATCAACAACTCCCAACGCTGCATTTGGTATACGTCACTGATTCCAATGGCTTCGTATGCCTTAGAAAGTATTGGACCAGCATTGCAACCAGCAATGAGATGGAAAATTGCATCATCCTGGCGCATCATGCACGATGTCAGATCGTAAATCTTGCCATGCAAAGCCGTGTAAGTTGGCTTATTATCTTGTCCATTAAATGTGGACAACTGTTCCAAGGTGAGTTGCAGAGGCATGAGGAAAACGGCCGATTCTTCCTCATCAGCTGGCTTGCGTCCCAGCATTTTGTAGCAAATCAGTGAGAGCTTCTTGGTTGCATAATAGCCGACGACGAATGAAATCAATATCTTTCCAGTGGTGCTCTTGAGTGCAGGTCCCACCAGGCGGAAGGCAGCATCTATCTTCGGTATTTGAGCTGCAAGTTTAACATTACAGCGGTTGATGGATTGACTGTGTCAATCTTTACTTACTTGCCAAGTGGGCCTGTCCGACGATCTGTATATTGGAGATCAGGCTCTGTGCCATCGATAAGGCGGTGCTGTAAGACATATCGAAAAAATATATTGTGAAACTAATATTTTTTTAATTTTTTTGGTATTTTATTTTGTTCCGTTCGTCTGTTACGTTGAGACTGTTAAAATCGACTGAACTTCTTAACCAAACAAAACTCTCAACTGAAGTATGAATCAAGGATTTATGATAAAAATAATTTACGGATGTCAGCATTATATTAAAATTGTAAGTGCGTCATAGATCATGCTCAATTAAGATCAGTTAAAAATGATTTACCGCTCTGGGCAGCATATAAAAATGTTAATCAAGCCAACTGGCAGCCTGAGCTGAGCCACTCCCCACATGTATATATGTACATCCAACAACTGTTAAGCCACCTGCTGCCGAGCTCATTTATTATATAGTCACATGCCTACATACATACATAGCTGTGTCTGCGCCATTTGCTATTAACATTAATGCCAAATGCGATCATAAAAATTGGGCTTAAACACACATTTTCATGTGTGTGTCGTCGGCTGTCTGCATGTCAGTTGCTGTTTTTATCAAATTGGTTGTACTTGGACTTTAATATGACTTAATAAGCTCATTACAATTTTCCTCGCTCCTCTCTTGCTCTCTTTCTGCGTGTGTGTGCAACAAAATGTAATTTCGCGCCACGAGAGTGCTCTGGCACATACATAAGCATATGTATGTACATATGTACACACATACATATGTATGTATTTACATGTATGCAAATACCACTGCAGGCCAAATGGCAAGAAGAAAGACTGACGCTTATTTGGGTTGACTTTAGTTGATACCCTCTGCCTCTTATATATCTGAACTTTAAATTGAGTTTGTAGTCGGGTTTTTAATTCATTTGCATACAAAAGTACATATGTACAGATGTGCGTGCAGCAATTGTGCCTTTAGCAACAGCTGAGATGATGAGTGCTCCATATACAATGGGCTGCGTCGCTTGCTTTTAAACATGTTGCATGGAATAGTTTTAAAATATTGTATGGAATATAGTAGTTACAGTCATAGTCTTACTTTCCGTGTTTGTGTAATCTGCTTGGGTGTCCCTTAAAAGTAGGCAATGATTTTCATAAAATGTCTAAGCTGAACTCCATTCATCGAAAGTGTTTCACTCATTCATAGGGTCTTCATTTAGCACCCATTGTATTGTCTGCAATTATCGACGTGTTTTATTCCAGCATGCCATCGATACCCTTTGCTTGGCCTCGACAAGAATCAAGAGAGAACTGAGAAGCGTGGCGCGTTTTCGTTTCCGCCTTATGCTCGCATTAAAATTTGCATAACGTTGATTTTGTTGCGAGCACATTACGCATACGCAGCATGTGACGTTGGTTTAAATTGCTTTGGGCACTCCGTTTGCGGCTCGCTGGTTCCTTTGCGTTTTCTTTTATTTTTTCTGTTTTTTTTTGTTTGTTTGTTTCTTGTGTGCCCCGCTTTCCGTTTTTGTTGCTGCTTATTTTAATTTAATAAATTAAAACATATTTCGCATGCTGTTCAAATATAATTACATTTCCTTCTGCATTCCTCCCTACCGCGACTTCATTTAATTAAAAATAAAAATCATACTTATAAATAAAAAAGCGGAAATCGCTTTAAAGTTACGCCGCGAGCTGCATGCCACCGCTACTGCTGCTGCTGCTGCTTCTTCTACTGCTGGTTATTAATAAACTTTTCAATTGCCCACAAACTGCGGGGGCAGCTGTCTCGTATTAACTTTGTCTGTGTGCCACTCCCCTTAACCTTCTCCTTCTCTTTCGCTCTCACATTCTGCTGCTCCCCGCGCCGTCTCTTGTTTGGCTTATTAGTCCTGCTCTGCTGAAATTTGCTTTGCCAAATGTCGGAAATCCGACTGCCAAAAAGGAGCACAAAAAACCAAACTTCCAACCACAAAGTGCCAAAGCTCATAAGCCCACAAACAGCATAAAAAGGAGGCAGAGTGTATGGGTTGGTAGGGAATGCGGATGCCGCTTATTATTCGAGTTAATTAAAGCAAATTTCAAAAGGATTAAATTGCCAGCAGATTTGCTTAGTTTACTTTGGCTTCAAGCTGTGTTTGGCATTGGAGGGGGAATATTCCCACTAATGGAGCCAGGAAAATGTAGAAAATTAGAAAAATGCTGAAAGGATAAAACAGAAATTGACAATTTAAGATGGGTTGAAGATGCCTAAGCATACGATTTATTCCAGAAATAATTCTCTTATATTTCTCATGATTACTTGAGTTCGCTGGGACTTAAAACAAGTTTTTTGATTAGCTTAAATAAATAATAAAATGTAGTCTAAGCTTGGACTCTCCCTTTAACTTTTCAATTAATTTTTCTAGAATTTTCACTTGAGTAATTTATATATATTTTAAATTCTCTTTGCCTTTGGTTAATGTCACCTCTTTCCACTACTTATTCAGAGGCAAAACGAACATCAAAAACTGGTCTACAATATTATCAAACATTAACAGTAATGTTCCATTCAATCTCCCCTTTTTGTACCCAACTATTCCCCACTGTACACCATGATTTATTCATGGAAACGAAAGAGCAGTAAAAGAACGCAAAAAAAAAACCACAACTGAAATGGCTCCCACATAGTTTTGGTCCATCGGACGTACCTTCTTCTTTTTTCGGTTGATGCTGAAATATTCTGCAGCACTAACCATAAATAAAAAACTAAAAAAATAGAAGGCACAAAAATAAACGAATATGTAAAATCCACAAAAACACAAACAACAATGGAAAGGCAACAAAGTAACAAATTGAGTAAGAATAACAGCGGCAGAAAAAAATATTTCCATGCGACAATTGCAAAAGTGTCAAGGTGCAGGCGGCGCCAGCCGCAAAAAATAGAAACCCCTTGCAAAAAACGGAAAAAATAAATAAAAAGAAGGGAAAAACTGGGGCAATAAAGTCTGGTGCCAATTTGTTGTGTAACCGCCACTGCTCCCACACAAAAATCGAAAGTTGGCCAGCGCTGTGTGCTAAATTTGAGATAGAAAGGAAATATCGCATGACTGGGGTATTTTTAATGCATATTTCCTGTTGGGGGAAATGCATACGTCAACATTTAGCAGGATGTGGAGTGGTTCTTGACGTTGATGGGGGGTATTTGCCTTTAAGCTCATATCTTTTACAATGAGAGATGACAGAGACGATGTTCAAAGTTTTGGCAGGTTTTTGGGGGGTTGCAGCACAACTGGCACAGGTATAACTCGATTATCCTATTCAACCCAAACTCAATAACAAATGTTCATTTATTCCACACCAAATACTTTCCGGTATCTGGCAATGCATTAAATCAATATCTCAGGCTCTGTCTGGAAAGTCTGGCTTATGTGTGTGTTGTTTGTCTAACTGATAAGGAAAACTTCCATCCGGCAGGAGGAAACTGCAAGCTTGATGAATAATTGCGGGTGAAGCGAATTCCCAAAAATTAATGAACTCCAGGGAAGAGCAGGAGCTGCCATAAATATCACACACAAAGTCAAAGTTTTCTTAGCTCGAATTGATGAGCAGCGCGCTGGCGGAAAGTTTCGGTGTGGCACGTTTTTGCATGATGAGGTTTCCGCAATCATTTTCCTTCCACCCACCGAAAACCATCAACCCACAACCCACGCAGAAAAGTTGCTCATTAAGATGCCGTCGAGAGGAATTGCGTGAAATTCTCATTCCGATGCCAGATTATTAATATCTGTGCGAATGGATGGAAGGGTGGAGAGTTCGATGGAATCTCAGTTAATGTGTTTGTGTGTGTGTGCACATATTTGTCCGATTCTCATTAAAGTTTCACATATATCACGCCGCATTGTGCACAATTAGTTGCAATTTATCCCCTTACACCGTAACGAGCACTCGGCTTAATGATACTTAATGTGTAAATCATTATAATAAATTACATGCATGAGCGATGATAAAAATAATCCAGCGCCAAGAAATAATACAAATAAACCAAGTGAATCCCCATAATGTGTGCGGCGTCAGGAAAAACACACACACGCTGACGAAACACAGACACTCTGAATGCAAAGAGACGGCCAAGTCAGAGCAGGGCCAAGAGTGGAGAGTCCTTATGCACGCATTAGAAATAAAGGCCATAGACATTAGGGCGCATAATGAAAAGCATTTCGGTTTCAAGAGTGCGTCACACAGCCGACACGAGAGGATGATGATGATGATTCGGATGATGACTGGGGCTGCTGGCAAAGCAATCGGAACATCAAACACAGAGAAAGAGCGACCGGCAAAAAGGGAAAAATATACAAAATATGCTCGTACAAGAGCGCTCCACAAGTTATGAAAGCTTTTCTTTTAGCCATAACCATACTCAAACATACACGGCTCACAGCTGTTGGCCAGCTGTTTCTGGTTGCAATGTTTTGGGTAATTTCTGGCAGAGCCTTTTCCGCCTGGACCGAAAACTTCCCTTTCACAATAAAACCCAAAACATTTCTCTCACTCTCTCCGGGATGCTGTGTGCGCATGTTGAGAGTAAATTACTTTCAAAGAGAGAGAGAGAGAGAAGACTCATGTCTCTCCTATAGATATTTTATAGCAAAGCTCAAGCTCCTTTATTTTAACAGCCAGTATTCAGCATCCATGTGCTCATAGGCTTGGTCCAGTAGCGGAACAGCTTTGAAGCGTTGCGGTTGGTCGCGAATCTGAAACCGGAGCCAGAGGCAATCTCTAGCCATCGCATCCAGAGCTCTCTCTCCTTCTGCGAGACGCGTCGTGGCGGAGTCTTGGACTTTCCAAGAACTGTTTACATTGTTAGGAAACTAATTAAAGTGAGTTTACGGCTGACTTACTGAATCATCATGAGTCTGCTAAAGAGTTTGGCATGGTTATGGCCTTCGTCCTTCGGCCAAATTTAATTGGACAAGTGCACACAAATTCCGAGAAAATACAACAGTGTGCTTGAAAATAAGTTTTAAAAGTGTTTAACTAAAATAAAGTGCCACAAAGTTGTGGAAGTTTATGGCGCAACATTTCTGTAAAAACAAGCAACAATGTTTTGACTTTAATTTCCACATGAATAAACCAAAAAAATAAATAGTGAGATTAATTATGGAGGAACCATTTCATGCAAATAAATATTTAATTTCATTCAACACAACAGAATCATTTTGGAAAAGTATCAATCAGGGACTTAGCAATTATATGTTGCTTGGTTTTTGGCCAATATTTTTAAATGCTGGTTTATTGGGTCCTTAGTGTCAGTTTTAAAGAAAAAAAAATGTTTTAAAAGTTATGAGAAATCAACATATTAAGAAATCTAAGCAGCGAATGTAAAATGTTTAGCAAAAAAAGTTTTTAGAAAGTGTAGTAAATCATTCAAAGGAATCTAAGCCCTCTAAATCCATGAAAATCTTAAAAATTTTACAGAAATATTAAAGCATGTCTAAATTATTTATATATTATTTATTATAAAATGTCGCAAGAGTACAGAATCTCTAGTATGATTTCGTATTATAAGCTTTTCTGAGCTGCGCCGGAGCTCCCATCCATTGCCTCAAGGAGTAATGTTCTACAACTACAAAATTACCCTCAACCTTAGCCACCCATTAAAAGTTTATAACCAAAAAGATTCGCCCAGGGCAACATCGACTCTACCTCTGGGAGTGCCACCATCTACAGACTTCTGCCCGCCCCAAAAGATAATTACCCCCAACAAATGCTATACAAAATTCTTTGCAGAACAAACACAGTAAAATTCATGAAAAATAAACAAAATACCGACAAAGTGAAATTAACAAAACAAAAACGAGAGAGGAAAAAACCGAAAAAAATAATCATAAAAAACAGTGCCGAAAAAAGTGCAAACAAGAAGCCAAGCCAAGGCCACTCTTCAGGAAGGTGAACCCAAACAAATAATTTGAAATTAAATCGACGGGGAAAACTAACAGAGAAAGAACCATCCGAAGGGGGAGTTGTCTTTGGGAGTTTGTACGTGATTTTGCTTTTGAAAACTACATTGAAGGCGCTACGCTACCATCCGCTGCTCTCTCTGTAATACCCACTCTATCAGGCTTTCAGCGCTTGAACTTTACTTAACTTTTTGTTCTTGTTTTGGTTCTGGTGTTGCTTTGGCTGCTGCTTCATCTGCCACCTCTTTGGTCTAAGCCAGCGCCTCAAGTGCCGCACAAGAGCTTCGATTTTCCTATCTGATGGTATGGGCAGTGCATGTACATATGTCTGCGTGGGTGGGTAACTCTATGTTTGTGTTTATATGTGTGTGAAACCTGGAGGATGCTGTGTCACCCCCACGAAGAGGTAGAGGTAGAAGCAGTGTTGGCCCTAAGCGCTTCACTTTACATAGCAAAAACTAGAAGATTGTAGAGATTAAGCCCACACCCCCACGACCTACAGCCATCTTAAGGACCTCTCTCCCTCTTCGTCGCCTTCTCTCACACTCTCCATCTCTCCTTCTCTCTCTATATGACACACCCTCCTCCTCTTTCGCTCTGTGATTTGTATGCGTTTGCCGCCATCAACATGGCCCCAGCTAATGTTGGCTTTGGCTTTGCCCTTAGGGTGGTGTGGTGCTAGTGCCTGTTCTGCGGCTGTGGGTGCTAAAGTTGACTCCACACAACCGCCATAACCTCCATACGTTTTACACTACGAAACGTAGCCAGGCATCCGCTCTTTTCCTCTTTTTCGCTCTCTCTCTCTCTCTAGCTTCTTTGAGCATTCTAAGTCTGTGCGTTTGGTTGGCGTGTTTGTGGCATAAAAATAAAGATAAATGCGAGTTCTTTACAACGCAGCGTTGAACACTTTGAGCCCACTCCTTCCTGTTTCTAGCCACCTTCTTACCCTCTTTTAACCCTGCACTGTGGCTTGCGAGGGAATTTTCTGCTCTTGATAGAAGCTAAAGAAAGTTGTGGCTAAAAAAAAGAGAAATGAGGATATAAGTATACATCATTTCAATTCTGGGTATTTTAAAATAACTTTCTTTGTTTAAGCAAAATAGAAAGTTTAACTATTTTGTTGGTTTTTTTTATATCATGGAAAACTTTTGTTGATAAAAAAACCATGGGATACCATTAGTTATATAGAACAATTAGTGGACTTAAGTTAAAGAAATTGCTTGTGCATTTTATTGGAAGACGTTATAATTATTGTACTTTCAATATTTCCTTAAAATATTAACATTCTTCACATACTCTTGACAAACAAACTCCTCGAAACAACTCCACCTTCTGTGGAAATGCAAATGAGGCAGTACTTCAATTAGTGCCACTTGTTCACACTCTCACCAACCACTGTGCAAGGACACACCTTGTTTTTAGACACTCTTTTATAGGGGAGTGTGCAGGGTTGGCGTTCGTGGGGGCTGTGGCTGTCGCGCCCATAAAAAAAGCGTCACCGGCGCCTTCCAGCCACAGCATCAGCACCCAAAAAACTTGAGGATGGAGTTTGTCTATGGCAGGAATGGCAGTGGAGCGTCACTCTACTCGTACTACTGGTTGGTTGCCACTGCCATTGCCACACTTCCACTTCCCCTGTTGCGGTTGCGAGTTTTAGATTTCTGCTTCCTCCTTCTATTTTTACTGTGAATGTGTGTGTGTTTGTGTGCGTGTGTGCATGTTACCCCAAAAATGCGACCAACACAAAAAAACACACACATTTCTAAATATGTATACAAATAACAAAAATAAAAAAAACGAGTGAAGGAAGAAAGGGTAGGAGCTTCGAAATCAGATATAGTGGGACGAAGTTTTAGATACCCTTGAAGATTTAACTTTTCTATGAATCTATCGTTGAAGATCTACAGTGCTTATGATGATTTTGACTTTCAATTTTGAGAACTATTCCCAGTTATGTGAAATACAGTGCAAGTTTAAATTTGAACAATTTGTTGAACAAACCGAATTATAAAATTATTATTTATGTTGAAATGTCTGTGATGCCTATGTCGTTCTGACTTAGATATATTTATTTAGATATCCTGCGATTCTCGTACAGATTGATACCGAAACATGACATCAGAGAATAGATTAAATTATATTCAGTGCCAACCCCTCTTCATAATCATTACAACGCCATCAGAAGGGTATTACACACAACAACAAAAAGGGAAGATGGAAAGTTGCTTTGCATAGAGCGCAAAAATGTTTTACGCTATGTTTATCTGCAGCGGCCCATCTCGACCGTTCTTTGCGTTTCTCATCCTTTCCAGGCTCTCCACTGTTGATATTAGCGCTTGTTTATGGCCAACACTGTAGCTGTATCTGTTTGTATGTGTGTGTGCCACGCCTCGTCGCATTTTAAATTAAGATCCGTTTTTATTTCTATTTACATTTTGCTCCTTCGTTTTACTCTTCCTTCCTTTCTGCGACGGCTAGTCCTGGGCACTGCAACTGTTTGCGGAGCAGCAGAAAGTGAAAAGTTTTTTCCAGACAGCGAGGGGAGAAGAGTGGGAATACCCCTCTTATATATGTATGTATACCCACCATCTGAGGTGCTCAGCGTTTTTTATTTGTTTTTCATTTTCACTTTTATTATTCCAACATTTCTACCATATTTTTTGTTTTTGCTTATTTTCGGGGCGGCGACGCCAACTGAAATGTTTGATTTATTTTTTATTTGCCATTGAACGTGTTTATTTATGTGTTCCCTTCGCTTTTTGCTTCTGCTTTTACTCTCATACATTCTCTGTACACCGGGAAAAATGTAAGAAAAACGTGACACTTTAATTGGTAAAATTGGTAATTCTGCAGCTTGAAAAATTCATTAAACTGTTTTAAAATTATTTCCCTAATTATATTTCTACAATACAATTTATTTATCAATATTAATTTTATTTGGATGTCAATTTTTGCCAAGTGTAGAGTCTCTCCTCGGTTTGCTCTTTGGTTACACAATTTTTATTTTTCTTTTCGCTAATCTTTTTATGCTTCTATTTACTTCTCTCTCTCTCCATGCATTTTATTTGTCATTTTTCATATGTCTGTTATTGTAAGCTGCATTAAATTGGAAAAATTTTAAGTCTTTTTATTTTTACTTTCATTTTAATGTGGAGTACGATTTTTTTCATTTTGGGAATTAGCTTTGCGAGCATGATTTATGACGCGGAACAAGTGTGGGAAATAAGCTTTAAAGAAGCTCTTTGAGGATGTTGATTTGGTTCGAGATTACAGAAATGAGTTTCTTGGTTTCTATTTGAATAAACGATTTTAAAGAGAATGATAAATTGGTCGTTAGAGGAGTTCTTTAATAATTTCCATAAAGGTGTTAATATATCCTGGGGAAGAAAGTAATTTTCTTTCAAGAGAATCCATCTTAGGGAATTCCAAGAATACCGAACATTTTTTTTGTAGAATTTATTTTTTCTAAAGTATCCTGACCGAGAACACCAAGCAATACCCGATCATCCAAGTTGGTTTTCCCCCTTCTTTCTCCTGCACTTGAAAGCAATTTTTGTTTCTCTTTGGAGAAGACTTAATTAAATGAAACGAAAGGCTGAGCAGGCACTTCTAATTGAAGCATTCTCCAAAGGAGCAGAGCCCAAGCCAAAAAAAAAAGAAAATATCATTTGAATCGCAACGTCTGGCGTCTGGCGTCTGGCCACAAAAAAGGGCAATTGCTGGGCATAAATTCATTTCTCGTTTTGTTTTGCGAGAAAGAAAATATGAAAATTCCCCCAGTTATCCTTCTTTTGGTTTGTTTTCTCTGTGTGTGAGTGTGGTGTGCCTCTTGCTCAACCGCAAACAAAAAAATTGATGAAAAAACCACAGAAAAGCGGACACAGAATGGGATACAAAGAGAAAGAAGAGACAGATTCAGTTATCGGGGACTTACCGCAGCCTTGACTTTAAGGCGACTTTAAAAATATGAGGGTGCCCCAGCGGAAACCGAACTCTAAGCGGATTTTGATTTGTTTTTGCCAACCAGGGCACCCCGCAAACAAAGGGAAAATGTGCTTAAGTTGTTTGTTCCCTGATGCTCTTAACTTTCCCCAGTTGAATCCTTCGCTCGCTCTGCTCAGTTGAGGATTTTAGATTCTCCCCTTCTTTGGCTCCTACTAAGGACTTCAGCTGCTGCTGCTGTTGCTCCTCCTCCTCTGCTGGATTGAGTTTGAAAAGTTGAATTGACATCAATCAGAGTCAGAGTGCTTGGATGTTACTTTGCCGCACCTGACAGACCGCAGAGCATAAATACACTTTTCAATATGGCCCCGACCGCAGCGTCAAATTGGATGAGTTTTAATTAATTTCGTCATTACAATAATTAATTGAATGCCTGCTGTGTGAGAGGCTCAAGGACATGGCTTTGTGGGCTGGAGGGTGGTATGTGGAATGTGGAATGTGGGATGCAAGGGCGGCAGCCAGCCCCACAGGTTGCGCAGGTGCAACAAATTGCAATATATTTTACAGCTACTTAGTCGAGCATTACACATGCACTGCAGGAGCCAACTTTTCGAGCCACATATGTACGCCAGTAAGAGTTGTAGCTCTATCTGTGTGTGTGTGTGTACGAACACAACTAGAGTTTGATTTATTGCCAGCCTCAAAAGCTCATAAATAAATGAAACGAAACCCAAAATGGTATCCAATTAGTTTATAGTCCTTGGCCAGCCACGTGAAATTGAAAGCGAACAATTGAATTTGAAACATAAATATTTAAGTGGCTCAAAGTTTTGGTAAAATATAAATAGGAGTTTTAGCTATTCTAACCCACCAGAATGGATTTGTAATATTCAATGGAATCCTTTAAACATTTTCTAAAATTAGCTAAAAGTTAAGAATAGTTTCAACATAGGTTAAATACGTTTTCCCATGCATATCCACGAGCCTTTTTATCCACAAGCCAACTACCAGCCTAATCAGCAATTTCTCCAACCAAATTCAGTTAAACCTTTTTGCAAACTCAAAGAGAATATCTTAAATGTGTCATCTCAGTCGGCCCACTCATAGGGGACCATTTCAGAAGGACAGTGCCGGTGTCAGAGCCAGTGCAAACTTCTTTAATCTGGGAAAATGCGCCTATAAATAGCTCAGAAAGCTGTGCCTCAGCCTGTGTGTTTGCCTTGCATGCAGGATTATGGCTTTGCCTGATAAATCTGTCGCCCATAAAGTACCACAAGGAACGACTGTGCCACTAGATTCAACATTCATGCCCCTCCACACACACTCTCCATACACATGGGTCCAATTCATGAGGCGACGCTGCGTCTCCGACAAAGTACTACAGATAAGAGAGGGAGAATCTGAGAATATATGGAGAGAATCCCATGAATGGATGTCTTGCTCGAGTGACGCCAGCAGAACTCTCGTCCAGAGTAAAGTACATGTCCAGTGTCCGTTCAGTCCCTGGTCCCGGCCCCGGCCCAGGTCCAAGCCAGCTCAATGGGTGTCCCGTCCAGTTCTCACTGGTGTGCAATCAACTGTAAGTTGTCATCTGCCATAAGCACAGAGGCCCCCACTAGAGTCTCTCCATCTCTCTCCTTCGGTTGGATTGAGAGAGCGGGCTGCTGGTTAAACGCGGTGAGCCGCAAATCAATTTACTGTTCAAGTAAATACCCAACTGAATTTAAAATTCAGTTACTTGTCCGGCCTCTCTGTCAAATTTCCTTGTCCACTATATAATTTCAGTCTCATTTTTATTAGCCATGGCAATACAATTTCTGGCTAAGATTCTGCAATTTGATAAAATATAAGAAATAAATTTGAGGTCTTTTGTCTCGTAATTCAAAACTGTTTTCGAATTGTCTTATCACTAAGACAGAAAATTGGACACATTTTTTAAACAATTGTATTGTCCCCTGTCTGCTGATTGGAGATTGAGTGAACAATTTCTAATTATTTGCTTTATTCTTACCACCTTTTACCGTCGACTCTATCCACACCAAATAAATGGTATACAAAAATAAATCAGCTCAAGTCATTGTTTCGCAACTGAATGTACTGAATTTATATTTAACTTTACGTCGTGTGAACGCCTTACACTTGAGTCTGTAGCATTTGGTTAGCTGACAAACGAATTAAGGTGGAAGTTACAACGTTTTCTGCTCACTTGAGCACTTGAAATATTTAATTCCTCTGTCACTTATGTATTTCTAAGTGAATGCTTGACCCGTATAATGGACCATATAATTTTATTAGAAGGCAAAAAGCATTAAACTGCCAGCTACAACATTTTCTGCTCATTTGCAGCTGAAGTACAAATATTTCTTGAATAATTCCAAGTGTTGAGTGCCACAAATGCGCTGCATACTCTTTGACGTTCATTGAGCATGAAAGTCTTTTATTTTTCCCCACCTCATCCTCTCAAAAAAGAGCTCCCCTCCGAATTTCCCGGAGCAAGTGCATTTAACAGTTTATTGTTGGAAAACTCCAAAAATATTTGTGGAATTTGTGAACATTGTTGGGCTAGGGTGGGTTGTGGGCGACGCCAAAGTGTGCTGGAAATATTTTGTATCCCGCATTCGAGGGCCAAATTTGTGTGGATTTTAATTAATATGTTTCCACCATGACCGTATTCAATATTCCCCCACATAAATTATCATTTCTATTTGCATTTGGGAAGCTGACAAATTTTAATATCTGATTCCCATGCAAATGTCCCTCCAGGCAAACACACTTTGTAAAGTGAAACCCAAACCATCAAAATAGATCGAATAAATATATATAAATGCAAATATATTTGCCATAAAAGCCAAACCAGCCAGAAAGTCAGCATTATACATATATGCGGGTATGGCAGACATTTTTTCAGTCAATTGATGATTGTCACTGAAAAAAAAGAAAATAAAACCACAAAAATCAATTGTACTAATAAAATGTATCGTCTATTTACAGATTTTCAGGCACCATGTGCCAAAGCAATCCAAAATAATAAAGTTGATGCGGAAATATATATTGGAAAATCGCTGAGTAAAATCAAAATAAAAGCTTCTTCGTGGGAGTACGAGTTAAATCAACGACCGAAGGCCCTAAAGGAAATTTTAACCAAACAAAATGCTGAAAATCTGCATTTTTACATTGGTAATTTCGGCAGCTGCCGCAGCAGCTGTAACAACAACAATAGCAACAGATACAACTACAACAGCTCCAACCCCTACAACAACAACAACAACTGTGGCTGCAACAACAACGGAAACTCCAAAAACAACATCATCAACCATAAAAAATGACTTGGGTGGAAGTGACGGCCCTCTGGGAGCAGGCGAAGGCAACCGAACGTTGCTGAACATTTTCAAGGATGTGCCTGAGGAGCGCGAGGCTGAGGCCTCAGTGGGTGGTTCAACCTCAACGGCCACGCCCACCACAACAGCCACCACAAGCACAACAACAACACAGGCAACAACAATCACCGCAAGAACTGCAAAAGCTGCACCAACGACACCAACACCAACAGCAACAACAACGGAAAATGAGGCAGCATCGGGTGGCGGCATGCTAATGACAACAGCAATGCCCCCAGCGAATTTGGGTGAGATGAGCAGCATTAAGGATGCTCTGCATCGCATCAAATTAAGCGAGATTCCATCATCATCCACAACGGAACAGGCAGAGCTGGCATTGGAGATGACAGAACAGTCAAAGGCAGCACCAGAAGATGCAGCGACCGTAGAGCTGAAGGAACAATCACCAGCGGAAGAAGCTCCTGATGGGGATGAGGACATCGCAACCGAATCTCCACTGCAAATACAAATGCAGGCAGCTGCCTCCTACCAAGTGGCCGAAACTCTGGCAGATCTAAATGAGGAGGAACGTGCTCGCTACGATGCGATGTTGGCACACCAGCCCACGGCCAGTAAACTGAATATTGTGGATCTTTATCCACTGAAAATCGAAGACTTTCAACCCATTATTCAGAATGATAATGAGGAACTCCTTAGGCAGCGTACCATCTTCACACAACCCGAGAATAATGACGAGTACCGACAGAATCTAATGCCCAATGAGGTGGAGATGGTAATCAACAGAGGCGAAGAACCAGCCCAGGAGAAACTGAGAGTCAATCAGGCCATTGGTGGTGCCACAACCACACCTATATCAAGCCAGGGAACTACAGCAGATTTCACAGGGAAACTTCTGGCCGATCAAGACGATCTTATCACCGAAATTGAAAGCAAATTTCAGCTACAAGAGACGACCACAACAGAACCGAAGGCAACCACAACCACAGGGCGACCATCAGCGTCTCTTCTTAAACCCGGCGACTCCTTCATCGATCGACGAGTGAAGAAAAGCTTTGAGTTTCCCATGCAGCATCGTGCAAGCGATGTGATGGCCATGCCCCACATAGACTTTGCCAACACAAAGTTCCAAACGGATTCGTTAGACTCTGGCGATGGCAAGGCGGCTGTGGGCTCAGCGTTGCACATGGCCTCGCATCCGGAGTTCTCCACCACAAAGTTTTACAACAGCAAGGAGCTGTACAACGAAATGCTGCTGCATAATAAGCGCAAGTTAATGAAGGAGACCAAGTCAACGAGTATGGCAGCCTCGGGAGCAGCTGAAAGCCCGATGGTAAAGTCAGTGAAGGAGGACACAACTCCGTTGGCATTGAGCGTGTCTCTGGTCGCAGACGGGCCAACTTTTTCACCAACAACAACAGCAGCAGCACCACCACCACCAACAATATCTACTACAATTCTGGCCACAACGCCAGCAACAGTAGCAGCCGCAGCAGCAGCTGACTCAACCACAACAAAAACCTCCACTGTGGGAAACTCTGGGAAATATCAGAAACAGCTTAAGCGTGCCAAATTATTGCTCAAGGCCCTGACTCCGCCCAAACCAGACAAACTGGCAGTTGTCTCGTCACCCGTGAAAGTCGCAGCCACAGAGCCATCTCCGCCAGCATCTCTGGCACCATCTTCATCAACGACTACCATGGCGACTCCAGCACCAATGATGGCCACGTCCAGGACGCGTCTACAGCGGCCAGTTAATCCCGCTAAGGCGGCCTCAAAGCCAATTGCCAGGCCGCGCATTTTAAGTCGCCTGCAGGAGAAAATCAATTCCCTCGAATGCGAGATACAGAATGTGCCGCAGGATTCGCATTTGTGGCGTGGCAATGAAACCCACGAATTGCTGCTGCCCATTGTGGTAAGTAAGGCGGTGGCTTTAAGGCTTTTCTCTGTCTGTCCCTGTCCCTGTCCCTGTCTTTGTCGCTTTCGTTCTTGTCGGCTTCTCTGTTATCAAAAACAATTGAAACCTGATTAAGTTCTTATCATTAGCAGCACAAAGAACCACACACACGCGCAAAGTAGCAAAAAGAATGAATGGAATGGGAGAAGAGCTTAAGGATTCACTGACGGGCAACACGCAGTATGCGTGTTATTTGTGTAAGCGGGTTAAGCAATTAGGGGACTGACTACATTTACATAATATGCCCGCTGACGGCTAATTAGTATGGAGGAAGCTTAGTTTTTGGCAGGGATTAGCCACACGGAAGTGAGAGATCCTAATTAACCTGCCAAAGTTCCAAAGGAAAGAAAACCGAATAACGAAACTACTGATTGAAGTATAGAATTACCCTCTCTCTCTGTACAATCTCAAACTTTGACCCATTGACAAGCAACATTTGAGCACACTCAACCAATAATTCGATATCCAATTTCTCTTGCTTTCCTCTCCACACAAAACACAACACAAAAGTTGTGAAATTGGTTTGCTCGGCTAATTGAAAACCTTTTAGGAGTTGATACAATATTCAAACCGAAAGAAATCACTGGCAGTGCTCTGGGCTGAGCGGGGGCCACATAAATAACTAACAAACATATTTGCAGTTAACATCGACAGAAACAGTTTAATGGACAAGAAAAGGACATCTACAAGATAACAACAAACGCTTTACCGAACTGGACCCGAGCCGGAGCTTAATCCCCCCTAGATAAGTTTTGGCCAACAAAAGGAAATTATTGATCGTCATTTTATTTGGCCATTTCCGTGAGCATGTGAGTGAGTGGTGGGAATGGGAGATTGCCGGGCAAGTTGACCGGAAATACGGCAGACTTGTATGCACAGCTCCTTATGCAAAAAAGGGACAAATCCTTGACACTGGAGACAGTGCGGTTCGAAATTGTAGGGTGGATGTAAAATGCAGTTCGGTTTCTTTTGTGATGTTATAAGTATAAAGACAGTTGGCAGATTACTTTCAAAATATACAAATTGTCATTGTCTTGTTGTATACCCAAAACAAGTACCATACAATTTTGATACATACTGTAATTGTATACTAGAAAAGGGCTTACAATTTCTTTATTAAATCGCATTTGTTGTTAAATCACGGATGAACTAGCAAAAGGGACTGACTCCATCCCGGGGGTCCAGTTGGCAGCCTGGTGTTGGCTTCTCTATGCTGCAAATATATCCCTTTCATGTCCTGGTTATATTGACGTAAATCAAGCCATTTGCCTGGCCAAATCACAGCTGCTGCCCCTTTGGCAAATATTTAAATTCATTTTGAGAAATGTTCACCCTTTTCATTGGCAGGCGTTATGTGAGAGCCAGAAGCTTTGACTAACTGACTGAAAGACAAGTGACTGACGATGAAGAAGGACTTCTTCGACTGTTTAATTAACAGCAGTTTTGGTTGCTGTCTATTCAATGTGTGTGGGTGCTCCCAGAAATGCCATTAGGTTTGATGTCCATTTCGTAGGATTTCTTTGGACGGAGTCATTTCTTTTGTTAATAGGGAAAATAGAGCAAACGAATGGCAAAGGAAAAGAAATGGATTTCCTGTTTACTTTTTGGTCAGCAAATGGTAAACGGGAGCTCGTCCATGAATTTAATTAAGGACCAATGCAGCTTTATGTAAACTTGGCAACAAAGTGAAAAGGAATATACATATACATTAGGCATTGGCATAATGTGTACCTTGCATAAAATTAATGCTGACTTTCTTGCCCACCTTCTTTTTTTCTCAAGAGATTCTTTCCCAGGAGGTCCTCTCCCAAGGCCCACTACCATGTGCCGCAGGTCCTTTTCGCAGTGCCCTGTCCATCTGGAGGTAGAAAAAAAGAAAACAATTAAAGAAAACAATTTTTGCATAAAAGGTGGAAACATTTCCTCCGCGTTTTCCATTTCTTCTCTTTTTTTTTTGTGAGGGTCACTGAAAACATTTCTCAACTGAATTTGTTTATTCTTCTGTTTGTTGTTTTGGGATTCTTTTTGATGGAAGTCTCCGCTCTGCTCCACTCTACCCTCCAGCCTCTACTTTTTTAGACATTTAAGCTTAGTGGAGATTAGTTTTTTTTTTCGTATTATTTTAATGGATAGGTGAGAGAGCCTGCGTGAATTTTTCTAGGAGACTTTTTTCGAGACACTCTAAGTGATTGGAAATTGAAATCATTTTGGTCAAAGAAACATTTGATAATAAATAAATCATGAGCGCTAAGGAATCTCTTTAATTGTATTAGAGTCCAACAATCCTTAATATCGATAAAAATGCTCTTAAATTAACGCAAAAAAAATAAAAGTCCAAAAGAAATATAGTGAAAATATATGTGTGTGTATGTCAAACAATAAAAATGGAAATTTATGTTATTACCTTTTGTGGTCTCCCTAAAAAAAAAGAGCGAACTGGACACTGCACAAAAATACGCATGAAATTCTATGGTGACCCAAAAACTTGGACATTTCCCGATTGGATAAAAATCCCTGTTGTATAAATATGTATGTAAATTTGCAAGTTTTTTTTGTATTTTTATTGTTACTGTTGGATGGCTGACCAACATACAATGTGGAGTTTTATGCGCGCTGAGACAGGCCATTAAAATGCCATAAATTTGAGCTCTGACAAATCCCCACCGAAAAAAACCATACATATATGGGAAGGGAATACGGTATACAAATACTGTGTAAAAACCGAGATCCAAAACTAAACCGCTTCAAATTGCGCAAAAATATGCTAAAATTGCTGGGGAGGCTGCAAATGGAGACCATAAAATAGGAACCCGACCCACCACAAAGTCGAATTTTGGTCCTGGCTTACACATTTACTCGTATTTTGATGGTGACGTGTGTTTGTGTTTGTGTGTGTGCTTTGCGGGGGTGCTGTGCCCGCAGACAGCAGACAGCAGACAGCTTATGGATGTGGCTTAACCCAAATTAATAAAAATTTGGCAACATCAAGTGGATCTACGCATATGTTATATAAACTTTACTAATATCCAACCCCGAAACGGGACCCCAGGCGGACCCTGGAATGAACCTTTTTGGCTGGGAAGTTTATTAGGTTCTCGGGCCCTAGCTCTGGTTGTTACTTATGTAAATTTGTTTCTACCACAAAACTAAACTCCCAAAAAGGGACAGACTCTGCTAGACATCGAGACAATGTTATAAAAGTAAAATTAGAAAACTTGTTTAATAATTCAGTTGGTTTCATTTCCATCGTTTGCCGCTTTGTTCGGCTGTCAAACCGCATCAGCAGTCTGTCAAACCGACTGTCGGCGTAGAAACCTTTTAGTCCCCTTTTACATTTTGTGGCAATGATTTGAATAAGCAATTTTCTCCATCCACCTCACTTCATTTTCTTTTCTCTCATCATCAGACTACGGAGCACTGTAAGCCGGACGAGCACTGCATACCAAATGTCCTCACCTGGCGGGGCGAGTCGGAGATCCAGTCCGGCGATATTCTAATTGTGGAAATCAATGATGCCATGCTGAATCCATCACACCAGCCGAACAATACCAGCAGGTAAGCTCTTCATCAAAGCTAAAAACTCTATATGAGCTCGTTGGAAATAAACCTTTAAAAATGCAAAAAGTCCAAGTACCAACCGAGTATTTTATGTTCTTTCGTGTAAAAAGTGTAACAATCGAATGTCGTAATGGGTGCTAATATTTTGCAAACATCAAAAACCATCGACTGCACAAACTCGATTGGAAAACTTTGACAGATACAAATTCCCACCTAAAACCAACGAAACATTTTTGTTCACAGTAAATATAATAAATCAAAGATTTTAGTGCAAACAAAAGTGAAAAGAAAACATCGAAATGCCAAAAAATAAGAGTGCATTAAAATACAGAAATAAAAGCTAATGGAATGATTTAGCAAAATGTTTTGAAAACGTGCCAAACCAAAAGGTTTCAATGCTAGAATACAATATTTGCTTTAAATGTGTACATTTTATGGAGATAACATTTATTGAACATTTTTCCTTGGCATAAATTAGACTTAAATGAAACCTTAAGCTACTGAAATCCCATGCCAACATTATTGCAAAAATGTATTCTTAAGCAACCCTTGTCACATAAACTTTTAAACACAAGATACTTTTCATACTGGAACAGACTTTACAGTTTCGTTATTGTTGATTTTATTTACAATTTATTTATTTATTTTTTCATCACTTTATCTCCATTATTTTAGTATTTTATTCTCTGTTTTTCTCAATATAATGAAGCACTTGAAGCACTTGATGCTCGACGCGTGAAAGCAAAGTATCACTTTACTTTAGATATAAGATTCAATTACATAACCCAGACACACACAAAAAGTATATTGTTTTTTTGCAACGCTTTCATGGCAACTGCAGTTGAACCTGTTGAAAATGGTGTCTGCTGACTTGCAGGCACAAAGCTGGAGTAAAGTTAACCAAAAGCTGATGCCTGAGAGTGATGTATGTTGTTAAGAAGAGTGAATGACTGACTGACTTTCTGCTGCTGCTGTGGCTGTTGCTGGCCAGCAAGACACACTGTCATTATGGGCTATCATCAGGAGCAGCATCTCCGACAGCACCATCAGCAACAGCATCTGCAGCATCATCATCATCCTCCTACTCTTGATGTTGCGACCCTTTTATTTTCTGAGCTCTGACAGGAGCCCAAAGCCCGTCACCTGAGCACTGAGCAGGATTTGCAATACTTTCACCTCACAACTCTCTCTTTATCCTTCCTGTTGACGCACATAGTTTTTATATTTTGGGGTAGTTGGAGGAGCCGTTGGGCGTTGGTTTGGCATCGAGCTCTTTCTTTTTTTCTTGTTGGGTTTTTATTTCCATTTAAGCGCTTTAATGCGCGTTGAAACGTGTTTGTTCGGGAGCTTATTATATAATAACATCCATTAAGGACCTTTATTGATTTTTCTTCGGCACGTCTGCCCCTGGCATAGGAATGAGGTAGATAGAGTTCCTGTAATAGTTGCCTGGTCGTGCTGGTGTCTAACTTGGCCCAGACACGTTTCGCCATTATCATGCCCTTTTTACAGTTTATTAAATTGTTTTTTTTTTGTACTCCTCCTCCTTCTCTCCTTCTCACTAGTCTCTGTCTAACACTGCGGCTCTTTCTCTTTCTCTGTCTCTGTCTCTGTTTCTTTTCTCTTTGGTTCATTTCTGTTCACAATTTTTTATTTCGGTTCTGTTTATTTTATAATGCTCGACAAAAATCCCCCCTACAAACTGCGCATATAAATGCCCTTCCAGACACTTCCTTCCCACTCCTTTTAGCCTAGTTGTTGACCATTAGTCATTTTGGCCTGGACCTCAACGGACACACACACAGCTGGCTGACCCTTTTTGCCTAGGCAATTATCACGTTTCTCTGGCTTTTGGTATCACATTTTTCCGCTGTTCTCTTTCTCCCCCTTTTTTTTCTTTTTAATTTAGCTTTGGTAGCACTGGCTCTTATCTTATCTCTTGATAGATGTGGCAGTCCACTCCCACTCCCACCCTAACGGCAGGCTCCATCAAAAAGTTTTACCAAAAAGAAAAGAAAAGGAGTGGGGAAAAAAAGAAAAATTAAAATTCATTTGTCGATCTCGGGGCAAACATCAAACGCGACTGCGTTAGAAAATTTCTCTCTCTCTCTCTCTCTCTCTCTTACTTAGCTTCAGGGCCCCGTGCAACTCGAAATTCCCGGCATAAGTTTTCGGTGTCCGTATGACCCGGGGCGGGGGTGCTGGAAGCTGCTGGCAGTGGCCCCGAGTTTTGCTCTCTGGCTAACAAGACCGCAAACAATCGAGTTAGTGGAGGAGTGAAAGTGAAGCGAAGTTCAGGTCGTGCACAAAAAAGCATAGAATACAATTGAACGCACCCCCGTCCACAGAGAGAAAACTTCCCGCCAACTATGAAAATGAGATGTCAAAAAAGTTTTCATTATCGATTTAATATGTTTCTCTGTCTGTCTGGGAGTGTGTGTTGCTGACTGTGTGTGTGTGTGTGTGGGAAAAGCAAACAAATGCAATAGCAACAAATAATAATGCCGAGGACCCAAGGCAAAGCAAGTGGGTAGCAAATAAATTGAAAACTTTCTTCGGGGTTCGTTTCCCAGTTCTCCAACAAGTTTTCTTTCTTCCCTACATGAGTACGTGTTTGCTGAAAAATTGCAAACTTGGATACTATATGAGGTGTCGGTCTCGCTCAGAGTCTGAGTCGAAGTCTGAGTCTGGCCTTTGTGGAGGAATGCAGCATAAAGTTGGGCAACAAGAGTTGGCAACAACTGGTTACCCTCTGTACAGCTTCTAAATGCAGACAAAATTGTTGGCAGTGCGTTAAAGAAGTTTCTTGCATAGTTTTAGTGGCATGAACATCAGAAGATGTTGCTAAAGATGTGGATAGACTTAACACTAATATGCTGGAGAATTTAGAAAGAAATAATCCGCACCATGTCTCATCAGAACACACCCCAAGCGGCACTAAGCAATGCGGCTGACTGCTGGCGCGCACTGTTATGTGATAATTTCATAATATAAATTATTTCAAGCATCTGCTAAGCAGCTTTGTGTTGGCAGGCAATAAACTATTGTACATCTGGCCCATCCATACCACGCCCAAAAGCCTCAATGAACCCTCCAGCCTCCAACCCCACTACAAACCTCAACATAAACCCTTTCACGAGCCCAGCTAGCCCAGCGCTCAACTAATTTCATTTCCGTTTTTGTGCTATTTAATTTCCGCTAGAACAGGGCAGAAGAGCGCTACTGCTTATAAATAAATTTCAATTAATTAAATTCACTGTTACACAGTGCGAAAACATGGAGCATAAAACGGAAATAAGGCACGAAGACTTTGGTCATATTTATAACTTAAACAAGAAAACAGAAGTCATTTAACTTTGCCTCCTATCTATACGTGTCTTTCTCTCTCTCTCTCACCTTCTGTGTTACTTTAACTACTGCTTTGCGCCACCACGATGTTGATGCTGCCAGCGCGGTACATGCCACACAGGTCTATCAGGTAACACGCTCCGGCCACGAGCATTGCGATGTAACCGAAGGCGTCCTCTTGGATATTACACCGCTGGTGGTCGATGGCAGGAAACTGGTTACGTTGTATGATAAGGATCTCACCGAGGGAGTTAACTTGCTAATTGGTGAGTAGACCCTATACACTTACTTTCCATGGGTACACGTAATTTTGTGTTGAAGTTTGGCAAAGGAACAAACTATTGATGGAGAGGAGTTGTTAAATTCTGAGCAGCACATCCTAATGTTTCTCAGTTAATCCTTCAAATTACATCTCTCCTTCCCGAAAACATATTTCATCTCATAATTCATCATCTTAGACTAAAGAGTATTCCATCTTCATCCATACCAATCTGTAACAGCATCTCCCTCTCACAGGTTGACGCCTTTAGGGAGCAATTTTTTTCCTTTTCGGCTTGTCCTGTTTGTTGTTCCTGTTCGGCCTATGCCGCAACCTGCGGCTATTAAACATTTATTTTTTTCTGCAGACACCAAGTCCCAACACCACCCATCGTGTGTCCAGTTTTCATGTAGCTTTAATTAATTTGAAACCCTACCTGTTTCACACTCTCCTCCTACCATTCCTTTCTGTTCTTTTTCCGTTTCTAGTGGTGTCCGAGCTGTGGGGTGCGCAATGTGTTCGCCTGAAGGTGACCACGAAAACCGACAATTGTGGCGAGAATGCCGATTGTTCGGGCAAGGGAGTGTGCTACTCGAACGCCGGCATGGAGGAGTACGAGTGTCAGTGTTGCAGCGGTTTTGCGGGTCCGCACTGCGAGGAGATCGATGCGTGTAACCCCAGTCCGTGTACCAACAATGGCATTTGTGTTGACCTGTCGCAGGGTCATGAGGGTAACTCCTATCAGTGCCTGTGTCCATACGGTAGGTCATTACTCTCTCTCTCTGCCTTTGCTAATTAGCAGAGCTATAGAATACCATTACTAATATGCCCCTTTGGTGGTTTTTTTTTCCACTTCTTTCCTTCTGTTAGGATATGCGGGCAAGAACTGTCAATACGAATCGGATCCCTGCAATCCCGCCGAGTGCATGAATGGCGGCAGCTGTGTTGGCAATTCGACGCATTTTCGGTGAGTCCAAGGCAAACAAAGACACACAGCACAGCACCGCACAGCCATAGACAGAGCAGAGCTTTCATTCAATTATCGTGGCCGTTGTTTCTGCGGTTGTCTGTCTAGCCCCACTGCCGTCGGTGTCTGTATTTGCTCATAAATGTTGACTTTTGTCGCATGTTCAGAAATTCTGTACGACCTGTATAACCTTTGTACCTTCCATTCGTTCCATTCCCACGTTCTGGCAGCTGCGATTGTACGCCCGGCTTCACGGGTCCTCTGTGCCAGCACAGCCTGAACGAGTGCGAGTCGTCGCCCTGTGTGCACGGCATCTGTGTGGATCAGGAGGATGGCTTCCGTTGCTTCTGTCAGCCAGGTGAGTGAACAATTCCCCCAAATAAACGCAAATTGCCTTCATTCTTTTGTTGATTCGCTCGCAAAATCGCTCCCATAATGCCAATATTTTGCAAGTTATCATCGTGAAAATTCGCACAATCATTGTTGGCATTGCTGGTTCTATTCTAAATTGAGTTATGGTTTTGGGAATTGCAATGGATGTTTGTAATGCTTTCGGCTACACGGATGACTAGCCTTAAAAAGTTTGGTATATGAAACGCATTGTGAAAAGCCGTTGAAAGGAATCGTATTTATATAATGCATTCAAGCAGGCTTATGGCTGTCAATGATGATCGCGAGAGTAATATTTTAACAATAGTTTTAAGCATTATAAATGATTTAAAATTCGACTTTTGCATTTAATTTTTTACTCAAAATATTTCAAAATCCTATTAAGGTGTTAACAAGAAGAGGTACTGTACTAAGGATATTCGCTTCTATTAATCATTTTCTTATTATTTCAACTGAATTGCGTTTCTTTAAGACAATCAATTTTCGCCTGAGAAATCGAATTGAACTCTGATGCAAATCAAAAATCTACATCGAAAAGCTCATAAATTATTTCATTGGCACAAACACAATTTACATAAATCGTACTCAATCACAATGAAAGTAAATATATAAAAAAAAAAGAAACCAAAGACTAAGGCAATTCCGGAAAAGTCTGGTGGAAGACGCCAGTCCCGGTCGAGACAGCGCGTCTCCGTCTAAGACATCTTTTCCCTCTGGGTGTCGCGCACAGCCAGTCAACGCTAAAGCATTTCTCATTGAAATTTCCATTTCATTTATTTTCCACATTTACATTACGTATACCTACCTCCCCACAACCACCTTTTTCAACCACTCTTTCGCTTTGGGTGTCTGACAGGATTCGCCGGGGAGCTGTGCAACTTCGAGTATAATGAATGCGAATCGAATCCGTGTCAGAATGGCGGTGAATGCATCGATCACATTGGCAGCTACGAGTGTCACTGCACGAAGGGCTACACTGGCAACCGTTGCCAAATAAAGGTGAGTGAACAATAGAAACAAAAAACAAAAAGTAAATTTATTGATGTTTGCAATAAATCGAAGCTGGGAACGAAGAAGATGGAAAAATATTACAAAATGTTTGTTGAAGTGGAATGCCGTCCTACATTTATTGATTACTCTTGTTAAAGCTACAATCTGTACTTTCTATACTTTAAGTATTGGAAACCGAAAGAAAAATATATATTTCTACAAGTATTTCAAATTATTGATAAACTTCAGATTGATTTTATTTTATTTCTTAGCAACAATTCTAACGTTTAATACACTAAGTGGAGGAGGGGCCTGAAACAATTTAAAAAGCTTCTTTATTATTTGTCAAAGGCGTACCCAGGAGTCCCCATTAGCTGATTTTTATTCCCCGAGATAATCAATATTTTAAAATGGTAACAAATCTGCCGACAATTCCCCGATGTAACAGTGGAGCGACCTCTCAGCAGGCCTGCTGTTGTTGTCGGGGCATCTTTGAATGGATATTGATTTAATTTTCTCAGACCAGAGATGTGGCTCAGTCTCTCTCTCTGTCTCCATATATGCATAGGCAATGAGGCTGCTCCTGCCTTGGTATGGGTGCGCGTTCGCGTGCATGTGTGCAAATGTAACCCATAGATACGTATGCTGGGGCAAATACATTTTTGAATACGTAATGAACTTTCTGCGAAGCTTTCATTTCTATTTCAACATTTTTTCGTTTCGCCTTCCCGGCGTCCTGCTCAATATGCTATGATTTGTGCTATATTTTTTTGGTTTTCTTTTTTTATTGCTTTTCAGGTTGATTTCTGCGCCAACAAGCCTTGCCCCGAAGGACATCGCTGCATGGATCATGGAAATGATTTCAGCTGCGAATGCCCAGGAGGTCGCAACGGACCGGATTGTAATCAAATGCCACGAACGGTAAGTCATGATTTATGCAGTCCCTGGGAATGCTCTAGGTCTGGTTTTGGGTTTTTCGGGATTGGGTTTGGGGTTTGGCCTTCCTGTTCCTGGCTGGCTGTCTATCCATGTCCTGTCGGTATCTGTGTTGCAGCAGCAGCAGCAGCAGCAGCAATGTGCATGGCAAAAAGGCCAGCAAATAGCCACAAATTGTTGGCTTGCTTGCCCTCCCAGCTGCAGGCCTGCATGAGTGTGCGTGTGTGCACTTTGACCAGCAGAAGCTGCAACGTAATTGTTGCCAATTTTGTTAGACAACTGCTATGAAATTTCATATATGTTTTTGTAGTAGTTTTTGCCCAAATTTCATTGCTCTTCCTGCGGTTGTTGTGTACATTTTTAAACTGATTTACGGCTTTGGCTTGTTTGTGTTTTGTTACTCTCCATTTGATGTTCTGTTACCCCCAAACTAAATGAATAGTTTGTGTGTTTCTTGGTTTGAGTCCTCCCAAGAAGTTTTTTAATTGAAATTGATATTTTATTCACTCTTCTGCAAGTTATAGGACACCCAAAACCATTCCCATTCCTATTAGTAGTCACATCTTACATCATAGTTGGAGTGCATCCTCCACAGCAAAGCCCAAAGACGCCCGACCCATCACTTGGTTCATAAATTAAGTTAACTTTGTTAAGGCTTGGCCGGGGCACTCTTCACAGAAAACTGACAAGGCCAACAATGGAGGAAACTACCAGTAAGTGGCTCGGGAGGTGGGGTGAGGCGAAAAGAATTTAATAAACGCTCAATGGACTTGATAATTTGTGGTGCTAAAATAAAACTTAACAAAATGTACATAAATTAAGCGTCAAGGCGCCATAATTAAAGCTTTGTGAAAATGATGGACACGCCGACTAACCGCGAGGCTCCTGCTCGGTGGGCCGGTTGGGGTGTCGGGGGGAGGGATCAGGACCAGAGAACACTGTCATTAAGGGGGCGGTGTCGGTGTCTGAAGCAGGAGCAGGAGCAGGGTCTAGAAATTGTGGCTTCCAGTCGGCGGCTACAGCAAAATTAATTACATTTTCCATGCCAGGCGCACACACACACTTAGGCGAGGTGGAGGACAGCCTCCTGGTAATTGTTAGTGAGGTGGGGGTTGCGGTCGGACAGGGGCCACGTCTCGTTTTTAAGACAGGATCCTAACCAATGCGATGATAACTCTCAGTACTTCCAGCAATGCCAAGTGAATCCTTGTACCCATGGCGGCACTTGTTGGTCCAGCGGTGAAAGTTTCTACTGCGCCTGCCGTCCTGGCTACACCGGAACCATGTGCGAAGGTAAGTCGAAAGTCCAATCCCTGGTCCAGCCGGACCAGAAAGTCATTAACTTGATTAAGGTCATCAAAAAATATGTTTCCCCCCTGATGGTGGCGCTATCTAATGTTTTTTTCACTGTTCCTGTTTCCCGGCTTTCTGGATTTTCTTCTTTTTCCGCTTTACAGATGAGTTTGTGGTCGAGACTGTCGTTAGCTCCAGTGAATTTATTGTCGACGATGCGAACGCTAGAAATTTTAATGACAAAACTTTCGGTTCATCGGTTGTGCTTAAGAGTCCCATTGAATTGCATAATGCATATTTTGCGGCCGGAGTTCTGGCAGCCGCCATTTTCATCGTTGCCGTTGTGGTAAGTTCCACTCCACTCCTCCACTCCAAAAACACACACCCAAACAGACACCCAAACAGACACACACACACACACACACAGAGGAATCGGTAGGTGTAGTGTTCCGCAGAGATGGTTGGGTGTACCGGCCGCACAAGGTCCCCGTGACCAACGGGGGAAATTGTACTTTGCGGTTATGCAAAGTGCGCGAAATGGCATTGCATATTCATTTCGTTGTCGGCAGCTACATGGAAAAGCCACGGAAACTGTTCGGTCGTCGAATGTCGTGTCGAATGGAGTCGAGTTACAGCACAGGGCTTTAACCCAAAAGTTCTCAATCCTCGAATTGGGTCGAGCTTAAAGCAGATGCAAATTTATGCAGTCGTTTGCCCTGGTCGGCTCCGATCGCACTCAATGTGTGTGTTACTTCAACTGGAGGCGGCAAAGCAGCTCTTTGCCAATTTATAGTAACCCAAAGGGGTTTCACTTCCACCTCCAGTGAAATGGATAGCTAGCGAGCGAGTATCCCTGTGCGGGTCACATTAATAATTCAGCTTTAAATTAAGTTATTCCCTTCCGAGATTCAGGCAGCACTTAAAGAAGGAAATTGATACCTGAACATGGATGCCTCTGGCATTTTTTTGTTCAGACTTTAACAGACTTGAGCTGGCCTTGAGCTTAATTTTGTATATCTCACACTCGAACACACAGTGTAAATTCCACATATCAAATGTCTATGACCATTTACTAGGAGACCAAAAACACTTTCCATTCGCTTTGCAGGTCACCATTTGTCACTGCAAGGTCAACCAGACGTATCGCAAATTCTCCACACGTTCCACCTCGTTTATACCCATTTTGGGTTTCAGTCGACGCCCCAAAATGCAGGGCAAACTCAATAAACATTGGCTGAGTGGCAAGGGTCTTAATGGTCCTGGCCAGCCCGGCACCAGCAGCAGTAGCGGTGGCGGTGCAGCAGGACCATCCGGCGGTGGAGCGCAGCGAGGAAGCCTGACTGGAGCGACGACGCACTCAATGCGCCACTTGCCCAGCCACCCACAGGCACAGACACAGACACAGACCACGCTGGGCTGTGGCGGTGGCGGTGGTGCCACTGGCGGTGGCAACAACTGTGCTGGTGGTGGACAACTGCAGGAGCGACCTTTCCAGCGGCACCTGGCCATGAACCTTGAGAACGACATGTACTACACCGTGGAGAACTCGCAGCACTCACCGTTGATTCAGTGAGAATTGGATGGGAACGGTGAATGGTTGGTAAAGTTTACGCCACGCACTGATCGGAGCCACACGCATTGAGGAGTGGTTATTTGTGGGTGGGGCGGTGTGTGGGGCACGCCCTGGGTAGGAGTGTGTAATTAACTTTGATGCTACTCGTTGAATATTCCAAATATTGAACAGTATTCGATAATAATAAACTAAATTAAAATTAAACCATGCCTAAAAGTGAACTAAACGAAATGGACGGAGGACGGAGTGTCGGTCGGGTGGATGGGTGGCATAATTGACTTTATGATTATGATTCCAACTAATGCAAACACAAATATCTATGATTAATACATGTATCTCTCTGGCATAAATAGGCTTAGCTAACTTGTTAATCAAGGTTTATTTTGGCCAAAACGCACACACGCCCAAAACAAATATATACACACACACACACATAGATTTACAGACTATAAAATGATAATGTTTGATTATGAAACAAAAGCCGCAAGGGAAATATCCAAGGCAAAGGCAGTGGCAGTGGCAGAGACTGGAATGGACTGCCTGCAGATAATCTTGAGTTATGTAAATGTTTAATATACCTGCATTAATCCTGCGCCATTTCTGTGGCCATCTGCGTTAGCTTATTATATGTATGAATTTTGCACATTTATGTGCGGACTTGCCAGACATGTTGCAACTTCAATTTACTCGCATGTCTCGCTGCTCATGTGAAATAATTTTATGGCTAGCAGGTGGAGAGTCAGAATACGGAATGCTCTTAGCTAATTGTTGTCATGAAATTTGTAATGCAAATTCATATTTAGCAATGGACATTAGCAACAGCATGGAGACAGTCAACGAAACAAAGGAAAAAACTCTGGGGAAGGGTTTGCTGTTTATGCGAAGAATCTAATATATGCACAGGATATTTTCTGACTCTTCATCAGAAACCCACTGTAATTCATTTCTAAAATGTTTCCAACAAAAGCTACAAGAAACTAATGAAAAACAGCAATGGATATTATTTTATGGCATCTGCATATCCATTTTTGGGCTTTATTTTCACCGCATTTTCATTTGCAAATGTTTGCAATTAGTTAAAGAATAATCATAGAGAAGGGACATTCCATTGAGAACCGCAGTGGGAGTGATGTGATGCTCCAAACGATATTAAATAATGCTACAGAAATCAATTTCCTCTTGAATGTGTCCCAAATATTGGAATTATATCAACTAATTTTAGGAAATGATGTTTAGTTTAGTTTTAATTAATTTTGCCATGGCAACAAATAGTGTTTATCGATGGATGACAGCAGAGTGTGGGCAGGGGGCAGGGGGCAGGGGACAGGAAGTGCAGCTATAGGTGAGTGTTATAAACTCAATTTAGTCGGTGCAGATATCAGAGATTATTGCTGGCTAACTGAATTTGGTTTTTGGGTATTTGCATTTGCATTTGCATTTGCATTTGCCTTGGCATATGAATTAGCACTCAAATGTTGTTAGTGAAAATTAATTAGCATAAATTAAAAATGTTTGCGACAAAAGTTAATATGTTTTTTGTGCATAAATAATATACGTTTCGAAGTCATTTCCATAAATGATTGTGTAACTATGGATTGGTTGAGCGTGTGTGTGTGTGTTTGCCACATTTAGCATATGGATATTCATGATAATCAATTGGCAAAAGAGAATGACACAAAGTTTCACTCAATAATTGATTAAAATCTAACAGACAAAAAATGCAGCAACAACAACAGAGTAATACTTAAATTAATAAGTGAAATAAATTGAAATGGAAATTCCATTGAGAGCCAATCTTTTGCATCAATAATAATTGTGGAACTTTTGGAATGCCGTATCAAATGAGTTTGTAATTAAAATGCTATATTAAGTAATTAATGACGATAAAATGAGGCAAAACCAAACGAAAATAAGAAATACAAAAAAAAAAACGCAACATAAATACAAATGAAATACATTTAATTAAAAGCCTTAGCCTAAGGAGACAGACACTCACCAGAGCAGATAAAAATATACATATGTATGAAAATTATGTAAACAAAATTGCTACATTTTTAAAGAGAAATTATGACAAAACAGTCGGCGTTTTGGGGCAATTACAATTTAATTTTTAAGCAAATCAGCAAAATAAATGTGGAAAATCCAGCGAAATAGCGTTATGACTTTAATTAAATCAGCAATAAATGTTGGGGGAGTAAAATTGAATTCATATTTTCTGTCTCTAACAACATTTGGTTTATTTCATATAGACATATACATTTATATAACATAACACACACGAGTAAAACTAGACAATAGTTTTGGTTTTTTTCTTCTCTAAATTGGATTTCACGTTAGTTGTTTTTCCTTCGCTTTTGGTTTATTAATATCACTCATACGCCACGTTGGGGCTGGTTAGAGATTTGTGTTCACCATCAGGTGGCATCAGTTTTGTCATCCTCCTGCTGCTGCTGCTGCTGCTGCTGCGGTTTCGTCGCCTGCGGGCTCTGCCCACTGCCATTCCCATTGGATTGCTGTGGTGGCTCCACCTTTTCCGCCTCCCCCAGACTTACCGTGGTCTTTGAGGTATGCAGCTCTGTCTCCTCGGGTATGACCTTGCGACCCTCTTGGTCCTGCGAAACGAAATGGAGATGTGAGTGAGCAACATTTTAACATCCAAATACGTAAGCTATGTCAATGCCATGCCACATGCCAGAACAATTCGCAACATACAACAATAAGTCATGCTAAATATTTGCACTGCACAGTGGCTGCAGTTTGTGTGCTGACACACGCGTACATTCAACCAAACCACACACATTTCGTTTTTCCACTCTGCCACACATTCATTCAGCAATTAAAAAGGTAGAGTTTGTGCAAAAACCAATTCCATAACGAGCTTTAAAATTAACCAACCAATTGCAAATAAAATAAAAACATAAGCTAAACAATAAAGGAGGGATTATAGTGCTTATAGGAGGCGACGTTGTAGATACCCTTGCAGATCCGTTGAGAGAGGGCATTAATGAAGAAAGCAAACACGGACACACGGACACACGGACCTGGCTATAATTACTCTGTGCTCTTGCTGCTTATCTAAACTAAAACTGCCAGAAATGCTTTCTATTCAAAAGTGCAAAAACTTGAATACTCTCTGCAAGGGTACTTAAAAGAGAACAGAACTGAAAACAGCATTCCCAAAACTCTGTGCGCAATCGTGTGTTGGTCTCTGTGGTACTCGTGGAGTGCAATTTACAATTTACTCACTTAACTTGTTTTTAGTTTTTTCCTCAATGCTCTCGATGGCTTTCATGCACATGCGGGAAAGTATAATCAACATGCATGCTTATTTCAGTTTAAACATGGAAATTTTAAGTGGCCAATAAATAATATTTAATGGAGTTGCAGCCACTGGGTTTTGGGTTGGGTAAATGCTTTGATGGAGGTTTGTTTGGCTACACACAAAGGTCTAAAAGTGAATGTTTTTTATGAGCTATCTGTTTGTTTTGGATAATTTGGAATAAATTGATTTGGTGGTAAATAATGCAATAAAGATGGAGTCTGTTTTGCAGATGAAACTTGGAACTCTTTTCACTCTCATTGGATTAATTATTTATGTAGAATGCAAATGTGGTCTAACAATTCTTATATGTATATGCATAACGTATCAATAGCTATCCCATTCCCTTGACATAAAACCATCTCCCAAACTCATTCAACCATCTTCAGGGTATCCCCCATCCTGCCACACACATATAAATTGTAGTGTACTCCTTTTCCTGTCCAGAATGCCAAATGATGTGTACTTTTTTCTAGCCAACACTCGATTTCTGCTGCATTTCATAAGCATTCCGGATGAGTTACTCCCGCATATGCACGACTGAATTGCAACGAAATCGCCGGTTGGTGTTATTTTTTTGTTCGCTCGGCTGCTGGTTGGTGTATTGTAGAAAGGCATTTCCACGTCATCAAACTTTTTGGATAATTCGCAATGCATCGGGCGTTGCTTTCTTGTTGTTTGGCTTTTTATTAAAACGCTGCAGGCTGCCGGCGAAAAAGGAGGGTACAGAGGCCTTGCAGTTGAATGCACAAAAGTTTTCCCAACAAACATTCATACACCCACATATGTATATACACAAATGTGTATGTGTGGAGGTACCACTCTTTATAGAAATGCGCATCTTAAGTGCCATGTGTGGTTGGAAAAGAGAGGGAAGGCCGAAGGATGCACCCTCCTTTCTCTGTAGTACAGGGACCGACCAGAATTTCTATAATGTTTCTCCCCTCCTCACCCACCCGATTCATTTTGTGCTGCTTTTGTTTCCATTCCATTGTTTGGCTTCCACTTTTTCTTTTTGCTTTCTGCACCTACAGCTCCCTCTGTTGCTTCGACTCTAGCCACCACCCCAACGCCTTCCCTGACTCACGCCCCATCTTGTTCCCCCTCGTCACGGGACTCACAATGGGCATTACTTACGCGCAATTTCGCGTTCACTTTTTGTGCGTTATGTTGAAGAAGTTATTGGCCTCGATATATGTACATATTTATGTGCGAGTACAAACTCGAGTAGACGCGTATGAATGCTGGGATATAAAGTCCTTTCTGGCCAAAATCAACAATGACAAATGTTGCCAACAGCATCGCATTACGTGGCATTCATTTTGTGATCATTCCTATAAATATTTCTTTCTTTCTCCGCTTTTTTTTCCACCGCTTCCTCTTACACATCGATAAATCGTTTTCATAGCCAAAGAAATAAAAATAATACCAGCAAAAAGTGGTGCCAATGTTTGTGTGTGTGCGGTCTTTTTTGTGCTTGTGTGTGTGTGGAGGAATATGGGAAATATTTTCTAGCTGGAAAGCAGAAGCAATAGCAGTAGAGAGAACAAACAGGAAATCGAAGAAGCAAGTTACAACATACATTCATACATTCATTCATTTGTACATACATGCATGCATACATATGTTCATATGTACGTACATACGTGCCTTGGCAATAGTAAAATATTGAGAATGCGATTGGTATGCTTGTTGTTCCTGTTATGGCAGGCACTGAATAGTGGTTCGAGGGCAATGAATGAAAGAAATATTAAGCAAAGTACTTTTTATTTTAAAGAAATTTAAAGTTGGTGATGTGAAAATTAGTTATTTTATAATACTGCAAGAAAACCTACAGTTTTCGAATAATTTTTAGAAATTTCTTTCTTTGCGTTTTCTTTTCTTTCTCTTTTGTTCAGGACAGCAGCTCGCGAGAGGCACAGATCTGTTAACATACCACGTTAACAGTTTGTTTGCTTCCACATGCAGCTCCATTAACAGTCTGTTACCGATCAATGCAGCAGCTGGCTGTAACCACTCGCTGTTAGCGCCAGCTGTAACCGTTTGCTGTTATCACACTCTGAAAACGCTGTTACCGCAAGCTGTTAGCAGTTTCTATTATAACTCTCTGAGAGCGCGGAGCGAGCGAAATTTACTTTTATTTTAACCCACAAATCGTGCTTGGCCACACTGTAGATTTCAAAGTTTCAAATCATTTGCCACATTCGAACAGACGTTGCCTTTTGCTATGCTTTTGCCTTGTTTGTTTGTTCTATGGCTATGCTGTTCTTTTACGCTCATCCATCCACATCCCATCCACATTCCTGTATCCCCACCCGACGACCCACAGATATTTGCCACCCATCAAGCTCTACCTCCCGCTGTAACCACACACCCCTCGAAACAAATGGAAAACCAGACATTGTTGCTTTTTGCAACAGCTGCCATTGCTATTCCCTTTTTGTCAACTTGAATTAAGTTCCACAGCAAATCATTTGGCGTAAAACCTAAACAAAAATCAGAGGGTAAAAAAAAAAATAAAAATTGCCATAGAACAAAAAGGACATTATTCAAAGTTACCCAAAGACTAAAGAGCTGTGAATAAAAACCTAAAAACAAAAAATTAAAGAAGAAAATATAATGCTAAATGCGATGTGATGAGATGTGAGGAGCGAGCTCAAATTGCTCGACGAGTGTGCAAAATTAAACTAAACTCAACTAAGCGTGCAGCAGAGGAAGCAAAGGCATCAGAGGAGAGAGAGAGAGAGAGAGAGGAAAGGAAATGCAAAAACGATGGGGGCCATGTGGCATGTGGACTGTGAGCATGGGGTGTTGGGTTTTTGTGGGTTATGCACATAAAAACAAGTGATGCCCAAAAGTCAAATGGCGCAAGTGCGGGCTTTAATTCAACGAAATAACTTAATGCCCGGATGGCTTGGCAAACTGCGACCCATGAACCGCTCTCCTCGAAGCCCCTCGTTTCTTCCCCAAAAAAGTGTTCCACCCAAAAACCACCCCATAAAACAGCAAAAAAAAAGAGAACAAGCAGCAATGGGAACTGTACATGCCATTGCATTCTGCCTCCCTCCTGCCCGGCCCAGTGAGTGGGCAATATCTTGGCGGATGATGCCGTTCTGCTGCTGATGCTGCCACTCGATGTTGCCTCTTGTGCTGTGTTGCAGCCACTGTTCTGCTGTTCCTTCGTTCTGCTGGCTCCTCTGTTTATTCGTATTCAGTGCTGCATACTTTAGGGCGCATGCATCCCCGAACAACCCAGAACAGGACTGAGAAGGACATGCAATGCATTTGCAGTTACATATGTTTGTGTGCTGAAGTACCCTTTTTTGTTTTTGGCAGAAAGGTCATATCGATAAGGTCGCATTGTTGGCAAATAGTCAAAGAAGCGCAGAAATTTTCAACGATACTGAATTCTGAATATAATTACATTCAAGCTAAGAGCTTTATTCTATACAAAAATTACTTTTAATGCATTCTGGCATTTTCCTTGCCGCTCAAATAAAAAATATAAATTCCTTTGCTAATAGTTTTTTACTGCCAAAAAAAAAGGGTATTTCTGCACTCGTCATTCCATGCATAGTTTTTCGTTTTTTGTTGTTGCTTTTATTACAGTACTTTTTTTCGAATGTTTTTGTTTCTGTTGGATTCTTGTACATTACCATTAACATGGAGCTGGGTATTACGGAT